ATAAATAAAAATAATAATAATATAAATAAAAATATATACATAAATAAAAATAATAATAATATAAATAAAAATAATAATAATATAAATAAAAATAATAATAATATAAATAAAAATATATACATAAATAAAAATAATAATAATATAAATAAAACTATATACATAAATAAATAAAAAAAAATATAAATATATTATTAAAAAAAATAAAAAGTAAAACAAAAATATAAAGATATATGTACAAATAAAAAAAATTAAAAAACCTAAACATTAAATTTTTAAAAATTTAAATAAAAACAAATATTTACATATTTAAAAAAAAATAATATAAAGAAAAAGAAAAAAAAATTAAAAAAAAATATGGAAAAAATTGAAAATAACTAAAAAATAAGAAAGAACTAAAAATATTAAAATTGAAAAAAGATAAAAAAAAACACATATATTAAAAGAACTAAAAAATTAAGAAAGAAAAAAAATGTAATTAAAAAAATTTTAAATTTAAAATGAAAAAAGCTTAAAAAATATTATTTTTGGAGGAAACAGGCAATAAATTCTGTTATAATTAAAAACCGGCATACATTTTTCGATTTCTATTACATCTAAACAGTTGCTAATGGAAGGTAAAGTTACTGAAAAGCTAAAAAAAAAAATATACAAGCTTAACAATGTAAAATATTTGAAAATTTAAAACCTTTATATTTATACATTTGATTATACATACATATTTCCACTTATTTCCTAATGGTGCTCTCTACAATGCGTTGCTAACCAGCTAAATACATACATACAATGGAAAAAATAGCGCCAATTGGTAATGATACAAAAGTTTAAAATAACGGCAAAACAGTACCGTAGATTTATGTTTATGAAAATAAGTAAAGAGTTGCGGAAAAATTAGTAATAGAGTGTGGCAAAATAGAATAGTTGAAACAACGTCACGAAAATTATTATGAAAAAAAAAAACGTGAAATGACGCAAAGCTATCTATATTGGTTCCGATGGCATTTTAATATTTTTGTTCCGTAAATAGAGTTTCGTGAGTTTATTTTTTTTTTTCTTCTGAATATTTATAGAAAACTATTTACCTTGCTGTAATTTATTTATTTTATATGCTTTAATTAATTTTCTAGCAATTTTATATGCCTGTAATTGATTTCTTTTTGTTTCCGTTGAATTTGAACAATAATATACGCTTTCAAATGCAATTACTAACTATGCATAGTAAGTGGAAAGTGCGTCTCGATACAAAACGCAATAACATTTTCGATCAGTAGCCATATTTATCTTGAATCGATGACATGACATCATTCGCAATAGAGCTTAGGCGACCAGCAACCTTGTGTACACCTTGTCGCACGCTCTCCTTAACGTCGTCCAAATCGGGTGCCTGGAAAACCACTGCGGCGGCTAAAGTAAATACAAATAATTTATTATTGTTAGCGTTTTATTGCTATGCTGCTGCTACACGCACCATCACGTGATCCTTGCCCACGTACGCCATTGCCTTGTTCATTTCTGCCGAAGTACTCCGATGATGATATACTATCAGAGTTCTGGAAACGCGTCAGATTCGCTTTCCTTCTATCGCTTTTGCTTGAGTCATTAGCAAAGAACTGATCAGAACCGAAACCTTTAGCACTACCGAATTTCTGTTGTGCCGAAGTTTCATCGAAAGTCATGCTTTTGGATTTATTTGCAGTTTTTTGCGAACTACTCTCGCTGCCTCTAGACGCTATGGTCTTAGCAGGCGGCTTTTGCTTCGCATCACCATCAGCGCCAGCAAACATTGAAGTAATATTGGAATGTCCACCACCAATCGGTTCAATTGCCTCAAAGCCCATCATTTCCAATTCAGTTTTATCCAGTTTTGAAATTTTCACACCACCATTGCCACGCGCAACAACATTATCAATATATAAATGGCTCGAATAATCACTTAGAACATTATCAATATCAACCAATTCATCATTGGAAACAAAGTTAGACATTTTGGTCTGAGTCTTCGGTGCAGATGTTTGCTGTATGGTCTCCATGTCGCTTAGTGCTGAATGTGATATATCCGAGCTAAGAGTAAAATGAAACATTTACATTAAAATCAGATATATATTTAAAAAGTCAAGTGTTGCTGCCTACCCACGCAAACTGAAACCCATGCCAAGACGCTCCATTTGCTTTGCTTTAGCTGGATCAACCGATTTTAATTTTTCTTCTTCTCGTGTCTTTTGCAACGACAGATCTTTATAAGCCAGACGCATGCTAGCCACCGACTCACGCTCCTCCTCAGCAGTTTGTGGCTTATCAGATACTACCGGCGCCTCCTTGCATTGATTAGCTAAGTTTGCACGTTGTTCAATTTCAGCGAAATTCGTTTTTACCTTGGTGGCACCGAGACCACCTTTGCGTGCGCCCAACTGTAATAGCGTATATTAAATATTATTTCATATTTTTAAATTGCAAATATATACTTACACCGGATTTCTTTGGCTGTATCTTGCGCACACCTATTGAAGGTGCAACAGTCGGCGGTGGTACAACGGAATTGAGAAAATCTACACTCGGTGCACCTGCACTAATGTTTTCAGTGGATGATTTGTCTTTAGAGAGTGTTGGTGTGGCAGTTTTGGTAATAATGTCCAGCTGAAGTATTAAAAGAAAGTTTACTATAACCTCAAAGTAAAGCAAATGCAGTATAAATATTAACACAACGAGTCAGGCAAAGGCGGTGTGTGAATCATGCTTTAATGATATTTACCTTCACTTCCCGTTCACTGTTATTGTTGTCGAACAACGTTTTCTTATTGTTGTCGTTAGTGCACTCAGCAAAGAAATCTTCCTCGGCGTCAACGGTGGATTTCAAATCATTGCCATCCGCCTTATCTGCGATATTCTCCAAATGCAGCTACATATAACATATTATGTACGCAGATTCATTATGTGGCGAGTATTGAAAATTTTGGCGTTATACAGAGGCGACAAGTTAGTAAAAACAAATGAGGAACATGAAAGCATTAACAAACAAAAGGATATAATTTAAATTCATAGAAAACCATTTTTAGATAACGAAAAATTTAACAATAACATTTGTTAAAAAAAGTAAGCAAACTTTTAAAAGAAAACAATTAATTATTTAACAATTATCAAATGCTACACACCTTTGTGCCGTGCACTTTCATAGCTTGTTGTGCCAAAGCTGCCAACTTGTCGCGATATAATTGAGCTGCACGCGAATTGTACTTTTGCTGTGCATCGGTGGTGACACAGTTATGTTGACGGAAGAACTGTGCGGCATTTGCGTTACCACCTAGTTGCATTTGACGTAACTGCACCCAGGTCCAGTTGGTATCAAGATTTGTTGAGCGCACAAAAGTCAAGTGAACACCCAAGTTTCGATGTACTGCAGAACAATCGATGCATATAAAAATGCCATACGTAACGGAAGACCAAGTGGGCGCCTTAGCCGAACAATCGAAACAAGCCTATGTGGAAACGTAAAATTGTTTGTTTTAAAACGATAAGTTTAGAAAAAGGCTGTGTTGTTGTTTTTCGAAGACACCAGTCTAATTGTTGACAAACAGCCTTTTAACAGGTGCCATATAGCAGAAGATACTTTTTTTACACAGTAGTCAGCAGTGTTGAGTACTTACTTTATTAGCAGGTTGTGAACGTAGTCGATGAAACACTGCTTCAATATCCTGTTTGGTTGGTCCTGCGCTTGAATTGGACATTGTGCTTTGTAGATAATTGCACTTTTACTAATATTTTTATAAGCCTTTTCTGCTAATTGGTACTTCTGTGCTCAGCTAATGGAATTTACTAGAAAAGTATGATTTCGTAGCGCCAAGGACACTGCTCGTTACCAATAATACACCTAACAACTTTATTGTTTTTTTTTTTATATCATTCCTTCTCGTCGTGGCATACGTGCTTTAATATTTCTACAGTTTTCTGCTTTGATTAAATTTTGACGTGTTTTTTCGACGAGAAAATGTAAAGAATTTCCAAAATTCCACGTTTGTGACTTTTGTATGTTCACTGGAAGCAGCTGTCAGTTGCAGTGCTGCCACTTGGCTAAGAGAAATTTAATGAAGAATAAAAAGCAATATGACGAACGCAGAGGAATGTTGCAGGAAATGTTTAGAAACATTAATTAAAAAATAATTATTTAACAAATTTTAATTAAACATTTATATTTAAAATATTAAGCTTTTTTGTTAAGTTTTTTGTGCAAATTTACAATTACATTAGAAGGAAGAATATAATTATAGCGACTCAACAGCTTAACTGCTCTGATTCTGTTTTTTTAGGATTGCGCGTCACAACTGCAATACTATCCGCATCTTGCAAAACTACCAAACGCATAAATGCCAAGTTAAGTAACAGCGCTTGACCCAAAAATTCACGTTGATAACGCTCTGCTCGGGAAAACATCTCACGATGTGCTGGCGAAAATTGTACATTGTGACGAAATGAAATATCCTTTGCTTTCTCATTTTGTCCGGTTTCACTCTCATCATCAAATATTAATTGCGACACATTGTAATGAGTCCGCATAAGCTGAAGTATAGTTTCCTCGGAAGATACACGTTCTGTGCCCACCAATTGGCTAAATAATCGTGCTGTTAAAAAGCGTCGCAGATAGAAAACATTTGGCCATATTTCTTCTGTCGTTTTGTTGACATCAGCTAAGCTTTCATGTCCATTTTTCAGTGCTTCAGCATATCTGCGGCGTGCGCATAAAGCATATGCTAGCACAGCTGTAACTTGTGATTTTTGTATGCTTATATTTTGTTGATTCACACTTCCTGGATTGCTATTGATTGCCGTTTGAGGATTTTCGAAAATATAGCAATCGGCGTTTGGTACAAGATGATCTATATATAATAGTCGATGTACTAAATCACCTAAATGGAGTTTTTTCTCTGTTACGTCGTGGTGTTGCCAATGTGTCAAATTACATGGTGCATTTATACTTTCGGAATCCGGAAGTTCCAAACGTGCCCAAGTAACGCTGCAAACGCCAATACGTAAAGAAACGCAGGAACGTAATTCCGCACGATGTTCAGCATCTATAGTTGGAGTGATGAAACTAGAAGTACGGCGTCGTGCAGAATGCGTCCCTATTATTTATTTAGTTTTGAGTAATCACCACCTATACAAGTAAATGCATGTGCATACATACCTTTAGTTTCATCAACATGCCCAAGCATACTTTTGTAGAATTTGTCGGCAATCCTCAAGCTAAACCCCTCTATTAAAAGTATGTCTTCTAAACTCCTTAGCGGTCCATTACGCTTTATCCATGCCATTAATTTTACTGCCCGTGTTTTAGCTATATCATAACTAAAATTATTAATGTTGTATAATAATTAATGTTAACTTATATTTTTATAATATAATAGTTGCATTTACTTTAAAAGCTCGTCATCTTTATTCACTATTGTAAGTATTTTGTCCTGCTGCTCTGCAGTATAGTTTTGAAGAGGATTTTTGCCGGTTTTCTGATTGTTGGTCTCGAGAGATTGTGGTAGTAGAGGATCGACATTGCTGTTGGTACTTCTTGAAATACTGAATAAATATGTATGCGAATTATCAAAATTTTTGATGGATTGTTTAACAAATTGAGAAAAACAATATTTTAACATTTTTTACTATATATTCAAAGAACATTTGTAACAAAAGCAAAAGAAATAAGCATGCAAAAATCAGCTGGTTAGTGAGAAGGAATAACAGCGCTGCAATTGTGGAATTTGATAAAAGCATTTATAAATGCACAAACACAAACATATTACTATATTACTAAGATCGGTTATGATTTAAATTTTTTAAAATTTTGTCATAATTAGATGTCTTTACAAATCCCATTTGTATGCCCATTAAACATCAAATCTCACTATGTTTAATTTTTATTAAATGCAAAAAAGAAATTCAAAGCTTTTTTCACACCACCCTAAAATCTCTGATGTATCAACACACTGAACACAGCCCAAACAGCTGTTTTGTGTTGTTTACATATTCCTATTCGTATGAAATAAAATGCACAACAACAATACCGAAGAAAGTCAAATTCAGTTGCTTGAATAAATCGAATGTATGAAGATAGTAAAAGCGGTTAAACTATAATTGTTAATGAAAAGTAAAAGTTGCTCTCAGCACGCAAATAACAGAACACAAATAATGTGCAAATTGAAATATTAAATTTATATTTATGTATGAAGAGAGTGTTTTGCAATTTATACATATTAAAAAAGGAGCAAAATAAAGTGCATAAAGAATCGGGATTGACAAAGGGTTCAAAAAAGGAGATTATTTTGCGCAATGTTGGTGCATCCTTTGAATGTTGCATTGTGTGTTTGGTTGGTTTATTATTATTGTATCTAAAACTCCTGCAAGAAAATTGTGAAATTTTCAAAATTAAAAACTTGGTTTAATATGCCGATTGCCAGCCATACATTTATTTGCTACACGAAAAAATTAAATTAATAATATCAATGTGTTACAGCATGCTTGTGTTTCGATGTAATCGACTCATTATAAAATCAACCTGAAGTTATAAGAGACAAATTAACTTGATACTTGAGTTATTGTGATAATTGTCTTATAAACATAGCAGTACAAACGCATATGTGTGCATATTTATTTGTATGTGTATGTGTTTAATCGTTGCTGCTTTATTCGCAAAAGAAAGTGAATTGGAAGTGTTTTTAGTGCTTCTTGATTGTGCACAAATTGTGACGAAAGAAAAAGCGAAACAAAGGCTGTTGTGAAAAGCAAAAAAAAAAAACAAAAAATACGCAAAATAACGTAAAAAAAAGTCAGGGCCGTCTCCCGTCGACGCAAAACGTACAGGCCTTCGCAGGCGCAACGCAGATGGCAAGCGATAGACAGATACAACACAATACAGACATATTTACAAGTAAATAAATATATAAACTTTAAGCGGGGTGGCGCACAAACGGAGGCTGCGTATGGCTTTGCTTGCATATGACAGCACTGCGCTAAATTGAGTGAAATATGAAAATTGACATGTTTTCGTTTTATAAATAAAACCAATTAGATGTCGGGCTTTCGTATGGAACAGGCGCGGTATTTGAAGAATTCGTACAAACACATTTCTTTTCATAATTTTGTATGACATCTTCTCTTCCTACTCAGTTGAGTTCTTTACAAAAATAACTGCATAATTCAGTACTCGAATAGGAGTAAACATTCCAACATACAAATGTTTATATGTACATATGTATGACCGTATATATTCAAAAATACACTAATTACCAAATAAAAAAATCATGAATGCAACTTTGAACTTTAACGCGATAACATCAAGTGGGCGGCAGCAATGGTCGCTGCATCAAAGTAACAAAAACAGCAAGACAGCATACTACTGCGTACCCCAAGTTGCCACCCACACGACAACAGATAGACATAATACTCCAAGCGAAAGTGATAATGAAGAAAGAATGCAGAGTTTATATGAGCGCACTAAAGATTCCTACACTTGCAATAGCACACCTACCCGCACGCCGGCTAACTTCTTCGACGAAGATCGTCTACTTTTAGAAAAGGCTTACCAGTCCCGCGCCAACTGTAACACATTTCCGCCAAAGTCATTGCATAAAAGTAACAGTTATAGCGGTAGCATACGCCCCAAAACGATCGTGCTCAAACAGAATTACTCCAATGGACGTATTGCTACTAGTCTAACGGACGATGAAATTGTCACCAGCAGTTATAGGGGTATCATTTATGCAGCGACCTCACCCAACCTCGAACTCACCTCTAACACACTCAACAACTATGATAACGATACGGCTGTCGATCTCGACGATGAACACGATCTGCTTATGCCGCCAACCGCTAACGTTTTCGGCGGTGTTGACGGCAATTACAGCAGTAATGCAACCGGTTCACGTCGCAATACACGTGGTGCTATTAAGGCGCGCAATCGCAATTGGTGCAGTCGAAAAATTGTCATTGGCTTCCTGTTGTTGTTGCTCGCAATTGTAGCATTTTTGTGTTTTGCCTATCTGACGCGCGATTACACAAAACAGTTTCTACTCTGGATCGAAATGCAAAATCCATGGATTATAGTGTCGATACTGTTGGCATCGTTTATGATTGTCAGCTTTCCAATAATAGTGGGTTACTTTGTGCTGATGCTCACTTCCGGTTACCTGTTCGGCGCCATAAAGGGCATACTGATCATTGTAACGGGTGCGAATGCGGGTATAGCCGTTGTTCATTGGACTGTGCGAAGTTTCCGACATCGCATCCCAGTTCATAAGTAAGTACTATTGTGTTAAAAACGAAGTTAATTTCTGGTGTAAGTGTTTTGCTACGAAAATCGTTTGGGAAGTAACGAAGATGCATTAAATCACATTATTTTGTGCAAAGTTTTTAAAAATCGAATGGAATTTTTCAACTAACTTTTTCTATTCTGTAACGCTTTAATTATGTTTATATAACCTGTATTTCTCTTACCACATTCAATCCTCTTGTCTTCATGTCATCACGCAATTATTTACTATTTAATTACACAACACTTCAACTAGGAGTTTCCGTGACATTCAAAGTCGAGGACGTCGCCTTCAATAACAGTTGGTCATTGAATAAACGTATACAAATGTAATGAATATTACAGTAGTACACGCGTGTTTTTACATCAATAGAAAGGTGGAACTTGGAATATTACCACAAGTATGTGAACTAATATGATATTGGAAGGGCGTATAATTCGTTGAAGATACAAGAAATAAAAAGAAAAAAATCACCAAAAAGTTGTATTGAGCATTACTCTAACTCTAGGAACTTGACATATAAAGTTCAGGCTAATGCAGTAAAAATTCTAATATATTTTGAATTTTAATTTTTTTTTTTTTTGGTTTCACGACCGATGTTTGAGTTAGTTCCCAAGTTATTGTTCAATTGAATTTTAGTTATTTTCAAACTTTATACTTTTTCGTGTGTCACAAGCTTACACACGTTGAAATATCAAATAAAGCATTTGTCATTGTTATCTTATGGTATTATACCTATTAGTAATATATATTTACACACGTTTCATATAAGTTGTTACTAAACAGTTTCGTTAGTAGCGCGCCTACCACCCCCACCCTTTCGCAGCACCAAGTATTACAGCGTGCACACGCCTGTTGTTTACCCCAGTCATTTGCCTACCAAACGATATTATTGTTATGTCTGTCTGTCAAATACGATCAACAAAAAATGAAATGAAATAATAAAGCCTGCTGTAGTAGCCGTCGGCCGACACTAACATCAAGCGCTAATGTGTGATTTTTGCAATGCATACGTCATATAATACACAATAGAATTGGAAATCACCGCCGATACCTTGTTACAAATGTATGAGCATGCATTGAAATTGTATATTTACCGTGTTGACGACATCATCAACTATTCTATATGAATGGGAACTAGATGTGTTTAGGCGCTTCAATTAACTGGTGACCCAGTTTCGAACTGAGTAATTGTATAATGCGTTAAATAAGCTCCTGTTTGAACCGGTGATAACTGCGATACAAGTTCATATGCTCACATATGTATAAACGCCCTGAACAATGTATCTTAAGCTTGCCACGAAGCTTGTAACACCCTTAGAAAGCTGCTCATTTGTCGGAATCGCCGATAACTAACCACTATACTTGTATATAGCTGCTATACAAAATGAACTAGCAATATCAACACCTTGTATGTAAAACTCTTTTATTTTACAAGATATTTTCACAAAATTTATAGTATATAGCTTTCATACAAATTGACTAAACAATATCAGGAAAAATAAATATCTTTTTATACCATTTTATGCTATAAAAAATACACCTGTGTAGAGTATTATAGCTTCGTTGTAACCGAAACGTTTTTTCTTGTATTTTTTTCAAAATACAATAGAAATCATAAACTGCTGTTACAGTTACAGCAAATATTGACGTGGATACTTTCTACCCCGCACACCAACTTCCCTACATTTTTTATATATTTTTTCTACTATTCATTTCACATGATAATAAACCTTTTGCAAATGAACTAGGCAGTCATAAAAGCAAAATATAATCGATAAGAATTAGATGTCATAAAAATGTTATCATCAATAGACTTCTGTTTATTGCGCCTACCTGCCCCCTTCGATAGCTATGTATTTATATTTAAATAGATTTATTGAATCATTTAAAAAGTAGTAAATTGTACTTTGACCGTCTAAATTTCTAACACCCGGCAGTTTAAATGACATACTTAGTAGAGATAAAGACAAAAGTGAGGTTTCGGTCGAACAACTACATAACAGTTGTGCTGAAAAGTCCCAGGCCTAACTAAGAAAACACGTTTTGTTTTGTTTTGGTTGGCTTTATTCATTAATAAACCACTTTTGTAGAACGATTTGTCTTTTGCCTTAAAATAGGCCCCAGTTTCAGTGATAACCTCTTCTTTCGAGCAAAATTTCTTACCGACGCGAATTTTTTTGAGAATGAGGTGGATGTTAGGTAGATTACTGCTAAATTATGAGACTTTTAACTAAGAGTAGTGCAAATACATATTTATATCTAATACATTTTTCACTTAATATACCAAAAAGGCAAAGAACAAGCAGCACTGCTCTATCATGCTTACTGGTCTATTGATAGCTCATATGATCTTATATTTGCTTATCTAAATTTGTTTATGTTTTCAATTATTGATATTCACAATACTTTTAAATAAAACAAGTTGATTTGTTATCTTCGAGTGCCGTAAACAATTGTCATTAACATTAGGTCTTATATCATTATATTGTTGCTAATTTCGACACCCAAGCTGCTTATTTAATGTTATCGTTCACTATACAATTTATAAACGCTTTCAATTATAACAACTTTTATATTTTTGTTCTATTTACTTTATAAATATGTGTGCGGAATCTAATAAAAAGGCACGCGATCTATCATTTATGAACTTAGCACTTGAAATAATGATTTAATCTACATTGAATAATGACACACTGTGAAGAGGATGAACAACGCCAATGATCTAATTTATTGTTTAAATATAGTATTTCTTATTGTGTAGTACTCTGTATTTATTTTATATAATGAAAGCTCTTTATTATAAGGAAGCCTTAAAGTAGTATATAAAGTATAAGAGTATAGTAATCTTCATTTATTGACTCGGTACACAGCTTAGCTATTGCGAGTTTTTCTTTCGTAAGTTGTGGCCCACTCGAAACCACAATTTCCTCTCCGCTTGTTATTTTCAACAGACAAGAAACCTTTCCTACCAACGGAGTGTGGTATCTGGAACGCTGGTAATTTCTTCGCATTTAGTCGATGTGCTCTACCTGTCTCAGAGTGTAGCCATTGTGTTTTCATTTGTCGTATTACCTTGCAGTTCTTATCTAGCAGATAAATATCATAGTTTCGTGGAATATTAGTATTCAATATTCTTGCTCTTAAATACTTTCAGAACTGCCTTCATAGATTTTGCCATCTCCAGCTAGAAATTTACTCTTCATTTTTCTACTCCCTTCATAAAAAGGTTTTTTTGTTGGTTAAGATTATTCTAATTCCATGCTCGAAAAAATTATATACAATCCATACAACTTCGAAGAAGCGAAGACTGACTATTGCTGAATATTTATGCGATGAATGCGAAAATTAGATACTTTCACGCATTTTTGCTTAGAAAACGTTAGGTTAGATTAGGTTAAAAAGTCGATGATAACAGGGACTAATAATAATAATCCTAACTTGTACAGCTTACTTGTATAGCCAGTCCATAACTAGATCATAAAGGCTCTTTTAAATCGATGAAACTCTTTGAGCCGATCACAAATTCTTTGAGGCGGCTAATGTCAGTTTCGGCTATGTCTGCTGGTTCGCCGAAGTTATGACTGTCGAGTTGTTTCAATCTCAGTTACTCAAGGGATGTTTTTGACCTATTATATTGTTATAAAGTTTATAAGAATCGCATGCGATAATCTTCATATCTGATAACTCGTATTTTTCAGCCATAAGATATATTTCTAAAATCATTCTCCATAAAATTAATTCTTTGAAGCTTTTACTAACAGAGCTTTCATTGAGCTTTCTAATAAGAAGCCTTATATATTTTCCTTATATTTCATAAAAACTTAGGTTTTTCATACCCTTTTTATAAATTTATATATGTATGTTAATATTTTCGCGAATGTTTATATAAAAAGACTGGAAAAAACACAGATTGCTTTAGTTTTTGAACCACAAAAAATAAAAAAACAAATGAAAAGATGCAATGAAAACAAACAAATCAACGCAGCTTTATTTCACCATAGTCTACGCAAATGTAACGCTTTTTAATTGCTTATTTTTTATATTATTTATTATTTTTTAGATAAACAGGAACTTGCTCCTCATAAATACAAAAAAATATTTACTTGAACTGAACTTCCATTTTTATTATATGTTTACATATATCGACTTGCGCTATTTACATATACCATACACATATTTGATTACAAAAATATTTTCTTTTTTTCTTGCAGAATAATTAAAAATGAGACTGCACGCGCTATACTGCGCGTCATTTCGGGCCCAAAAGCATTCAGAGTCGTGCTCTTTACGCGCCTAACGCCCATTCCATTTGGCGTGCAAAATATGATTTTTGCAGTAAGTCAATAGTTACTACATACATATATTTACCAAAAATAAAAATAACAAAAACAAAAAAAATAATATATACGCACACACGTACATTAACTTTGCCCTCAGACCCGCTCTACCGTTTGCTGCATGCACGCACGCAAGTTGTAGTGGGTGTCGGACAGTCGATTACAAATCAGACATCTGTAATATTTGCAATTTCCATGCAGATAACTTTTTTTTGCTTCCTTTCTAACATTGTCTGCATAAGTCTGTGTGCGCTTTTGCGGCTAGCCACAATTAAGCATGTGTGCACCATATAAAAATTATAAAAATTTGTTTATGTGTATTTATTGCTGTATGTGTATGTGTGTGTTCGTTGCTCGTGGTTATAATTTAGTGCTTTGTTTAATTTATAACAATAATTTTCGATTTTCCTCTGCTTCTGCAAAAATTTATATTTAAACTCAAACATATGCGCCCCATATTCACATTATATTTATAGATATATAAACATATAGACAAATGTATGGTATAAATATCTCTAGATATAGACAACCCTGTGGAGCAAAACACTGGGGCTGAAGCGCTGTTTCCATTACTGCCAGTTGGGGAATAGCGTTAATACGTATTGTACGTCGCACAGTGTTGTAGTTATGCAAAAAAATTTAATAACTAAAAAAAATATGAGCATATATTTATCATAATGTATTATTAGATACAAAACACACTTCTACAATATTTTTTTAATTTTAATATATATGATTTACTTTTATAACATATTAAAATATTTTTATAAAAAATATAAATTTCTTGGAATATTATTTTAACTCACTCAATTGTTTTTTCTTTATATAGGTACAAAAATTTTATTTTTGAAATTTTGAAATATTAAAAAAAAAAAATTTTTTTCAACCACTGTGCCACTTATATATCAATTGAGTTTATATGTTTCACTCTTATCAGCAGTTTCACACTAATTCTAGAAAGTCATTAGTTTGAACTGATCAACAATGAAAATAAGCGTCAAATGATGAAACACACAAATAAATTATGCTCTAACGACTGTTTCGCGCATCTTTTTCTCGAGGTTAATAAACAGCACTAAAAAAATTGATTTCTTAAAACAAACAATATAAATTTCTCACTGAAGGCTATGTTTAATGTATTTCGCCTCAAAAAGCCACATTTATAGAATTTTGTTGACAAAAATAAATTTTTATAGCAATTTCCTTCAATTAATCTACGTTGACCATTTTATTGCGGTGTTTATTTGAAATTTATTTTGCATATCAATTGCTAATTGTTTATAGCATATACATATACAAATATACGTTTTGAGTAAGATTCTGATATACATGTATGTATGTATGCAGATATCGACGTCAACCGCAACTTTTGCGTTTGCATGCATTCATAAATATTTAAATATACAAGTATTTTTTATAAACAATCAACTTCCGTGTGTTTGCAGAAATCTTTTTCGACTTGACTGTTATCGTAGCGCTGTCCTAAATGTTTACAACAGTATAGGAAGGCGATATTCTCTTTAGAAACGTCAAATATCCTTTGAAACTTATGATGGTAATAAAAGGCAGTTTGAATGAAGTTTTAAAAATAAGTCAAAAATTATTATTTTGTCTAAAGTTAGCTTTCAAACACCAGCGCGGTCTTCAAAATATTTAAAAATTTTGGAAAAAATATCGCGAATAGCCTTAAAATTGACGCTTTTAACCGTTCTTTCGATACTTTTGTTGAAATTGTTGAAAATTTTTCGAAAAGCAGCAATGTTTTCCTAACCTAAAAAAAAACAGATCAGAATATTTTAAAAAAAGTTAAAATATTAAATTTCTGCTAATATTATATTAATCAACTGTCATGCGGGATTTTTAAGCATATTCAAAATTTTTCAAAACTTTAAACATTTTTCAAAATTATTAGCATTTTTCAAAATTTTTTAAGATTTTTCAAAACTTTAAAAAACTTTCAAAATTATTAGCATTTTTCAAAGCTTATAATTTTTTCGAAACTTTAAAAAATTTTCAAAATTATTAGATTTTTCAAAATTTTTAAGATTTTTCAAAGTTTTTAAGATTTAAAATTTTTTTTAAGATTTTTAAAAGTTTTTAAGATTTTTCAAAACTAAAATTTTAAAAAAAAATTTAAGATTTTAAAAATTTAAAGCAGAGCAACAACGTCAAACTGTTTGATGGGAATTTTTTCTAACGACATTTTGTAAATTCTGAATAATAGCCCTTTAAATTTTTTAGTGGAGTTTTTCTATATTCCACAATTTAGAACTATTTTAGAGAAAAACAAGCCCAGAAGCGTATTATTATTTGATTTTATGATAAACATATTCAGATTTATTTAAGTGCAAATTCCATGAAGATATTTGCAAATTTGGCAAGGTTATAGACAATATCAGCAGAAATACTTATAGGTGTATGTTTTCACAATCCTAGTCTCTGCTTTATCAGCATGAATGATGTTAGTATTAAAATAATGGTTTATGTGGCGAATTATTACATATTATTTTATTGTTGCAACAACAGCAACAAACAATTTTTTACAAATTCTAAAAATGGATTCAGCACAGATTTATGTTATAGTTATATACGAACGTAGTAGTAGTATTATTATGAAACTCATTAAGCAACAATGCAGCCAATATTTAGCAATTATGCTATACCTAAGTATATATATGTATACATATGACTGTATGTATGTATATTTGTATGCACTTTTAATACGAAATCAATTACTCTTCGAAGTTTCGCGTATATATTGTCATTTAGCTAACTTTCCTTCTCAATAATAGTATAATTACTATATGCAAACACACATGTGAATATTTAATATATACTTGTACATATATTTGTACATGTGTTTGTGCCTAGCATATGTCATAAGTTGTCGCACGACTAATGATTATTACATTATATCGTAATTACCGTATTTATTGCAATTAAATTATCGTTAGATATGCTAACAGCCAGTAATCAAAACATTATTATCCTACAATTCCGCACACACACACACATGCATATATAAATAAATATACAAATATAAATTTGTAAAACTCGTTTAACTTTATTTGAAATCTGGATTGTTGCTATGCCCAAGCATGTTAAGCAAATAAGTAAACTCAAGTTGTGCTACAATTGCGTAAGTAATCAGCAAAAAGGGGGGCGAGCGCATTATTGCTGGTTTACCTGGTAACTCTACTTGCAATTTACGCTCCGTTGATTACTTAAGAAATTTTTCCGCAGGAAAAACAAGCTTTGACTTTATCTGTTTTGAAATTTAAATTGACGCCACCAAACAATTGAAAGCGTTTGTGTATACATATGCATATTCATATACTTGTATGTAGATATATAAGTATTAAAATACGTACATATACGCTGATAATAACTTAAAAAAATCGATATTTAATTTATTTTTGGCAACGAGCAAAGCATTCATTCCACTTGTCACGAGCAGTAGAAGTGGCGTTATGATTTAATTGCAAAGTTGAGAATTTTAAATGGTTTAAGTAAAGTGTGTGTTGCCAACCACATGCGATATTTGAATTAATAGTGTGCCGGCATTTGGAGCTCATGAAAGCTGTGTGATTATTGGAATATGCCCAAAATAGCAAAAAGATTTGAATGCAGAGGCAAGATGGTGGCAATTAGCGCAACCATTTCTTTAGTTTCAAAAAATTTACTTTAACTTAACGGAGACTTGAATTAAATTTTTGTATTTTCTATCATTTTCTATATCTTTTAATGATGTTTTAATTATTTGCACCTTTCTTTTTTATCAGTTCCCATAAATTTCAATATTTTAAAATTAGTTCGCGTATTTTTTAACATTTTCAATAATTTTTTTAGCATTAATTTTTCTGTTGCTTGTTTTTATAATACAATTTTTGGGTTTAGATATTTTTTCAAGATTTTTATATATGTACATATATATTTTTTTCATTATCATCATTATTTTTTTTTTGAAAAAATTTATTTATTTTTTTTTGAGAAAGTTTATTTATTTTTTTTGAATTTTTTTTTTTTTATTTATTTATTTTTTTGAAAAAATTTATTTATTTATTTTTTTTTAATTTTTTTTTCGTTTAAATTTTGTTTACCATTTAAATATTTTTTTATTTAGTTTGTATTAAATTTTATAATCAAATTTTTAATACGGCGTTAATTTTCAGCATTCGTTTTCCACAACTTTTTTAAATTACAATATTTTTGTTACGATAGTTTTCCAACATTATTATTATTTATATTTTTTCAAAAAAATGTATTTCTTTTTATTTTTTTTTTATTTTCATAATATTTTTAATTTTATAATTTTTTTTATTTTATCTGTATAAATTTTTATATATTTTTTGTGAAAAAATTTATTTATTTATTTTTTACTTTTTTTATTTCAATTTTTGTTTTATTTTAATTTTTTTTCCTTTGTTTGCATTAAATTTTTTTATCAAATTTAAATACCGCATGAATTGTCAACATTAGTTTTCCTCAATATTTTTAAATTACAATTTTTTTGTTTAGATAATTTTCCAACATTATTATTATTTATATTTTTTCAAAAAAACGTATTTCTTTTTTTTTATTTTTATAATATTTTTAATTTTATTTATTTTTTTATTTTATTTGTATAAATTTTTATAATTTTTATTTTTTCATAAAAGTTTATTTATTTTATTTTTTTTTACTTTTTTCATTAAATTTTTTTTTATTTTGTTTGTATTAAATATTTAAATCCAATTTTCTATACGGCATTAATTTTCAGCAATCGTTTTTCACAACTTTTATTAAAATTTAAATCAAAATTTTTTTGTATCGATAATTTTCCAAAATTATTGTATTATTTTTATTTTTTCAAAAAAATTTATTTAATATTTTTTTTAATTTTATAATTTTTTTTATTTTATTAGTATACATTTTTTTTAATAAAAATTTCAATTTACTTTGTAAAATTTTTAATTTTTTTGCCTGTAAAATAATTATTATATTTTTTCTTATATAAATTATTTCCATTTATTTTATAACCGAATCGACTTAGTGACAAGCAAAAAATAAGCACAATTCTGTGTATTATCGTAAACATCATTTGCATACTAATTTTCGGTGACGAATAATTTAGGTAGTGTGTGTGTTTGTCGGAGCGTATGTGCTTTGTCATATATTTGACACCCCGCCTTTTTTTTTTTGCAATTATCACTGGTATTTGTTTATTTTTTTGTCGGATTTATCGGTATGCTTCTGTGTTTCATTTGAGTTTTGTGCCTAGTTATGATAACAAAACTCGACTCAAACAAGTTGTTGCTACAATTACCAGCAAACCGCTTAACCGTGTTATTTTTTCAACTAATTACCGTTGTTTACATTTCTGAAATATTTCCTTCATTTAGGTCAGTACAATTAATCCACGTGTCTATCACACCGCCTCGCTTATAGGACTGCTGCCGGCGCAGATTATCAACGCGTATTTGGGCTCAACTTTGAGATCTATGCAGGAAGTGTTGAGCAACCATGGCACGGCGGTGACAGGCTACATCAGTTTTGGACTGGAGGTAAGGAATTTTACGTTTGCTATATTTTATATATTCAATTAAACCGTTTATAATATGACGTCAAGGCTAAATCAATTCAGTCTGGCCGATCGACTCAATGACGCATTTCAGATCTAATTCATTTCACTGCTAAAGTCATTGGTATTTTGATTACTTCAATGCCTACTCATACATATTTAATTATACCATATACATATCATGTATGGCAAGTATATATACAGAAGTATGTATTTTTGCTCATACATACATATATGTACATACATTTGTGTGTGAGAGCGTAGCGGCATATGTACTAGTCGGTGGCTCTGTTGCGCGAACTGTTCTCAAAAATCAATTATTGCATATTTATGCAAATACTCAACAGTTTTCATACAAACATTTTACCCAACGTTTTATATTAAGCCAGTTACAAAATACATAATGTTTCTTGATAATTTTAATTTCACACCGCAATGTTTCAGCATCTACATACATATATAAGTAAGCAATAATAAATTTATACATTAGACTCGCTGGCAAGTACAACCACAGTTCGCATGCACAAAAAAAATTTGTTTGTTTAAAAAATAAATCCATTTGGAGCAGCTGGATCAACATTGTTTACACAACATTTTTATACAAACAAATTGGCACGTTGCTAAATATTTTTATGTATATGTACATATGCAAGCAAAGTAATAAATCTAGATCTTTACTGCCTGCTTATCTGGCAGACACTCTAACCAATTACACTTTGTAAAGGCAATTTGTCGAAGTCGGACAAGTGCAGTGCCCCTTAAATACAGTAAATTTATAAAATTTTAAAAATAATTTTCTTAACAGACGTTAAAATTGGCAATATGTTTATTCTTTATTTTTCTGTAAAAAAATTGTTTGGTACTTTTCTTGCATTGCATTGTATTTATTGAAGTAAATAAAACAGTTTGAGAGCTAGAACCAGTGCAAAACCAAACTGTTGTTAATATATTGGCTGTGCCTGCAAATATGCTATGCAAACTGTTGTGGAAAAATAGCCGTTGAATCAGAGAATGTAAATGAACATTCTCTGGTTGAATGAAAATCTATAAATTAAATTGTATAACAAAACTGTCGTTTAAACAAAAAATTTGAAATAAATTCAATATTACTAAATAATCAAAAATGTATAAGTATACAAAATAAGAATATTTATATATATATAAATTAAAAAAATTTATAAAATATATGTGAATATATGTCAATATAAACAATAAAAAAAAATCATTATCAAAGCAAATTTTAGTTTTTAATTTTTAATTTTTTATTTTTTTTATGCAATATATTTGTTCAATAATTGCTTTTAAAGCCACTAACTAATAACTCTCTGCTCTCCACTCGCAGGTCATTTGCGGTGTTGCGCTTATGGTTTGGGTTATACAAAAGGCGCGCAAGGAATTGGCGCAAACGCTACTCTCCGACGTCAGCAACGATGGCAAACTGATCGAAATCGATGTGTGATTGATGTACCATTTCAAGTACAAACCGTGCACGTTAGTGCGCGCTTCTAGCGACGTCGAGCTGTATTCACTTTGCAATATGAATAAACTTTAAATGCTCAAATCAAGCTCGAAAACCAAGGCTGGCTATTGCCAGCCTTAGCTTATGACTATTACATACTTCCTGCAAACGTTTGTGTAAACGTTAAACGCTCACTATTATATACAAATGAAAGACTATTTTATAAAAAAAAAAACAAAATTGCTCTCTTATTTTGAAAAGAAAATTATTCATGTATAATTTGTTTACCTTTAGTTCGTAAAAACATTCTGACAAAAAATGTTATATTATACAAAAAGAAATATATAATTAGAAGAAAAAAAATTTATATATTTTGTACATTTCGAAGTAAAGCCAAATTAATATTGTGTATTTGTAAAAATGCGTACTATAATATTATAAATAAAAAAATTGCACATATATGTATATGTTTTAGCAGTATATATATGCATTAAAGACAAGTATTAGCGAAATAATTATTCTTAATACATTACGTTTAACTATTGATATGCATATTTTAAATTAAAAAATATTTTTCAAATTTTTGATTGCAATTTTTACAATCAACTTCGTATTTAAAAAATAAGTAGCATTTAAATATATTCTAAATATTTGTTTGAATTTGAATACTTTTTTTAATTTGAAAACTGTCACACTCGCTTGTATGCTATCTCTAAAAAACAGTCTGAGTTTATGGAAAAATAACCAAACTGTGCCTATAACTTATATAAACCGTTACAATATGATTTGAGCATTTTCTGCTCTTTGAAAAACAGTTTAAAATATATATATTTTTTATAATTTCCTGCATTTGCATTTTTTCTTACTTAGTTAATGGTTTTCTTAGCTGCCAAAATTGAAAAATGCGCATAGTTGCAGTTGCATATCAACATACATATATATGTATATGTGTAAATATGTAAGATTAATTATTATGAATATTTATATGGAAAGTGTTTAGTCAAGGTCTAAGCTGTTGTTAGATTTTTAAAGCATTTTTGTAATGGAATATATAATACATATATTCGTATGTAAATGTTTTATATTCTAAGTTGTAGAATTGGTAGAAATAAATGTGAAATCTTGTCAGCCTAATAAAAATATATATATTTCTAAACAACAATTACATATGCACAACATAATATTTATTTATAATCAAATTTCGACAATAGTTGTTATTAGAAAATAAATCTTAAATAAAAAAAAAAAATTAAAAGCTGTTAGGTAACTGCGAGCAAGTCGTAAAATATATATTATATGAGTAAATATATATATATTTTTTTAATTTTAATGAATGTTATGGCAACACCTTTGTTTCTCAATAGCAAAAATGCGTAAAATTTTTTACGTAAAAAATTTAAAAAAATATATAATATTTTATATTATCATAAATAATTGTTTTATATAAAACTATGTTGCGTATATTTTTATTATTCGAAGTTTTAGTTTTGAACAATTTTCTAATCTCACATTATATATACATACATAGTATAATTTACTCAATGCATATACCTACAAATGTCAGTTTATGCATGTAAAATCAGCTTAGATCTTACTCTTTTGGAGTATCACTCCTGCTCCGAATATTTGTGCATTTCTCTTCTGTGTCTTCGGTAACGCCGCACTGACTGCTTGTGGAATTATATTTCATGCTGAGCCTTTGCATATACTCTTCAAACATTTCTACGCCAATTGCGTAATCTTTTCTCCAGATGCTGTTTGCATACTGTCTCGATGACAGTCAATGCCAAGTCCACATCGTTATAGGTGACGCAAAGTGGTGGACAAATGCTGAGCACCTAAGAGATTTTTGAAAAGTTATTAATTCGAAATTAGTTGGTCAACTGATATTGAAAATTTAAAAAAAAATTTAATTCCATGCATAAAAATATTTGTTTGTGATTTTTTTGAGAATTTTTACATGAGAGGAAAGGATTGTGTGCATGCATGTTCATTGATTAAAGTAAGGTTATGAAAAATATATTTTACATATTCACTTTTTCTTTTATTATTTATAATGTAAACTAAAAGTTAGATTATAAAAATTTATTTTTTTATTTTATTTATATATTTATTTTTATATTGTATTTTTTTATATATATATTTATATTTATTTTTATTTGGTTTTATATTTATTTTTATTAATTTTTATATTGATTTTTATATTTATTTCTATATTTTTTGAAATTTATTTTTTTTATCTATTTTGATATTTATTTTTATATTTATTTTAATTTTTTTTTTTTATATTTATTTTAATCTTTTTTTATATTTGTTTTAATTATTTTTTTATATTTAATTTTTTATTTATGTAGTGTTTTGCTGCTTTTTGTGCAGTTGCTTCCTCTGAATTCCGCACACAAATAATTTTTTGTATGAAAATTCTTTTTTTTACCTATTTCATTTACACCTACATACATATGTATGCATACTGCCATATGCTATAAGGAATCATACTAGAAAATCATAAACGTTTTGTCAGTTTTTGAGGTAAGTACCTAAGTACATATGTGTGTATATAATTAAAAGCTTGAAATTTAAATTATTTTTAAATATTGTTTATTTAGTATTTCTTCCACATTAATAATGAATTCACCAATTTTCTAACAAAGCAAAATATACCTAGAAAAAAGTTCAGACACTAAAAAACAATAAAATGTTAACATTAAAATATGTATAAAAATTATAAATGCATTACAAAAACACAGATATTGCATTTAAAAAAAATTGCAAAAAACAACATTTAGTCTTTGGAGTTGCCAACTAAAAGTAATCTACTCATAACTACATATATAAAGCTTATGTGGCAATAAAGATGTTGACCTTTTGGTCAACAAAAAATAACCGCAAAGTTTACATTTAAGAGGTAATAAGAAGCAAAGCAGTTAACTTGAACCATAGGAACATGACGAACGACTATTTTAAGCGTATATGAGAAAATAAACTCTTAACTAACTACTAGGCTAAAAATAGCACAAGAACACAATCGTTCTTAAGTAAAATTTTCGAAGTAAATGCAGTCCTCTTAAGCATTTGAGCTAGCGTCTATTGTTTTTTGTGTAAAACCTCAGTTATAGCGCTTGCTAAAGTATCCACAGCGAATTTGACATCCGTTTTCGAAATGCACATTGGCGGTTTAATGCGGAAAACCTGCAAGAGAGAAAGGGAAAGAGATATGTGTTGGGATAGAAAAGAGGGATGTGTTTTAGTACGAGCGAAAATGATGGTTAATCTCAAGCAATTTATGGTAAAGTATTTTGAAACGCTAGTCAGTGAAGTGTTTGTTTCTATGTACAAAAGTGAACAACAACAACAATCAAATGTTTACAATTGACTTAGAATAGTTGCGCGTATTACTATTATTATTGATAAACTGATTGCCACTTACATTGCCATTTAGACCGCCACGTCCAAAGAGCACACCCATATCCTTGCAGGCCTCCCATATTTCCAATACATGCGGCGCGCTAAGTGGCGTTCTTATAGCACGATCGGATACCAACTCAACGCCTATCATCAAACCTTTGCCGCGCACATCGCCGATAATCTCGAAACGTTCGCGCAATTCCGCTAAACACTTGAGGAAGTAAGTACCCACTACCAAAGAGTTCTTCTGTAGTTTCTCCTCCTCGATAACATCGAGCACAGAGAGCCCAACAGCGCTGGCCAACGGATTGCCGCCATAGGTATTGAAGTGCAGCGCTTGTCCAAGCGATGCGGCAATCTTGGGTGTAGTCACCACAGCGGCTAGAGGGAAGCCATTGCCGATACCTTTGCGAAAAAAATGATAGATTTATTTCATTATATTATGCATATTGACGCCCAAACATGTCAGCACACTCACCTTTCGCCATTGTGACAATGTCCGGTATGAAGTCATGACTCTCAAATCCCCAGAAGTGATCGCCAGTGCGTCCAAAACCGGTTTGTACTTCGTCAGCGATGAACACACCGCCATTGGCGCGCACCAACGCAGCCGCCTTCTTAATATAACCTTTCGGATATTGCACGGTGCCGCCTACGCCTTGTATGGACTCGGCAAACATAGCGGCGACACGTCCACGCGGCAATGAGTACTTGAAAACTTCCTCTAATTGTTCATAGTACCGCGCGCCAGCCAAGCAGCCGGTTTCTTGCGTGCAGTCGCACTTGCGATCCGTTTGTATGGGCGAATCGCGACAGGCTGCACCGCCCCAAAGACCCAAATACGGATCTGGGTTCATGACATGCTGAATGCCGCTATTGACGCCAGGTAGCGGAAAACGCCATGTTGAGAGCGCCGTCAAACCCATGGTGTACGGCGACATACCGTGATAGGCGTTACGAAAAGTGATAATATCCTGATTGCCTGTGTGCATACGCGCCATAAGCATTGCAAGATCGTTAGCCTCAGAGCCGGAGTTAACAAAGCATACCGCTTTAAGCTCGCCGGGGAACTTAGCCGCCAAACGTTCGGCATATTCATGTATCTTAGGATGCAAGTAAATGTTTGTCGTATGCCACAGTGTGTTAATCTGTTGCTCCAGCGCGCGGTTTACTTTGCTGTTGAGAAGCACAATCAATATTTATATTGCCGCACAGAAAAGTATAAACTCAGTTGTTACTTACGGATGACAGTGACCCACTGATACTGTCACAATGCCGCCAAACATATCCAAGTAACGACGGCCTTCGTGGTCGAACAGCCATTGCATATGTCCGTTGTGTATCAGTAGCGGTTTCTTGAAATGTGGCACAATGTTCGGCGTAATATGCTTCTGACGTATCTCCAGTACTTTTTCGTAACTTGGTCCCGTATATTGTTGTGGTTGATAGTCACATTCGGGTATTTCACTTTGTATTTCCGGCATAATGGCTGGTGAAGCCTTTGAATGTAATGTTGTGGTGGTACGTTGTTGAAGGCCCTGGCACATCAAGCGCGCCGTTTGGACTGTAACGTAAGAGCATGCTACTCGTTAGGCAAGATGTTTGTGATACATAACTAAAATTCATGGGTTTTTGTAAGCTCTAATCAATTTTGTAATCAGAGTTCGGAAAAAACTACTACCTATTGAAAATTTTTTTCTCAGCAATCAGCAATGTCAATCTTATTTTATTAAAAGTAAGTTCATGAAAATGTCTCAGTTCTTCGAAGGCTACCTAAAACATGTAGAACCCTCTATTTTTGGACAATATGAGGCCGATCACCACAAATAAGAAGGGCGTCTCAATTTAACATCTAACCAGCGAGAACTGTCAGAATTAATACTAGTATCTCCCTAAAGAATCGTTTTTGATAAGAGCGCCTTTATTGATAATCGATTAATAGAAGGTACGGGTGAAGTAGAACTGACAATAATATGGTACGGTTCTAATCTGGGATTTATTTCACTATATAAATATATTCAATCCTGATTTGAGCCGTCAATTTGTCCAATATGTGCTTATATAATGTGTTAATGATTACCTATCAATTACAACTAATAAACGGAATTTGTAATAGTCACGTGTTTTTCGTCGTTGTTTGTAAACATTTCAATTTTTTGCGCTCTTTCTTCGTGCTCACATATAAACTGCTCCTACAAGCCGATTAGATGTGCATCGAATTATAAATTTACTTTGCATATTCTACAAGTATAAAAAAAACACAATAAACTAACATATTTACACGCCCAACAATGTACATCGCAATCGTGGCAAGTTAAGTCTGAATCAACTATGTGTATGTACATTAAGAGCAGAAAGTTTCCGAATTTTGCAAATAACTAACGAAAAATATTTAATCTCCAACAATACTTATTTCGTCGCCTTCAAAATATACTGCTTCTGAAGCTTACACATACATATGTCACCACTCCAATCATTGAAACATGCTTTGTAGGCGCTGTCCGGGATCGCCTTCAGTTGCCTCTGCGAATTTTCTTTTATTGAACGAGTTTTTGGTCTTAAAATCGTTCACAATTGCCGCTCGGTGCAATGGCGCATTATCGTCATGAAAAATCCATGAATTGTTGGTCCACAATTCCTGCCGTTTACGACGCATGTTGTCGCGCAAACGCCTCAAAACGCTCAAATAATAATCTTTATTGACCGTTTGTCCTGTTGGAATAAATACAAACCAAACCGCGAATATCGAAAAATAAAAACAATTTCCGGAAACTTTCTGATCCTAATGTATAAGCTGCGCCATAACGACATTGCACGATCACGATCAGGGCCGTTTTAGTGCATTAATCTACTTATATAAGCGAACAGTATAGGAAAGAGAATTAGAAAGTTGGGTGGGAGTGAATTAATTCGTTTTAATTAGAGACTATTGGTAGGCTAAGTTTATAATAACAGCTATAATTAGTAGAACAGCGTCAAAAAATAGATTTTAGAAACTGGTTGTGTAAGCCTTTTAATAAAACAAACGTTTATCTAGTTTACTATAGTTAAGAAATAATTCAATAATATTTCTTTTTGTTATACAATGGGAGCAAGATCGATTCACAGTAAGCCAAGCGTTCATGCCGACCGCCACCAGTTTTAGTTTATATGCAATATTAAAATAATAGATGTCTTCGATTCGCCAAACTTTGAGAGTAGCGAATCGAACAAACTATACCAGTAGTTCAAGCAAACTGACAGCAATTGCGGTGCAATCTTCAACTTAAAAATGTTTTGTATTTTATTTAGTGACAGTTATTTGGCCATTTACAGTTGTAAACTTGCTCTAAGATATATGAAACAAAACTTGGGGGCAATGAAGATAGAATTTATACCACTTTAATGAGATATTCGTATACACTCTTGTATCAAATTCAACTCGATAATTGTTTTATTGCTTTTAAATGTAAATTTTTTTACGAGAGAGCAGCGCGCAAAGATAGCGAGCAGAGAAATGCTGAATCGAAGACAACCAATATAGCAAACACGCGCATTGGTTTTAGAACCAAATCGAATAATATTTGAAGCACTTCCAAAGATTTTTAAACTTAAGAAATTTGTGTAACTAAAGGTCTATCTAAATTGTACAACGTTCGAATATTGACACTCTTAAATATTGACAGCTGTCATCTTTCTATACAATGTGTAGAAATTTTCAACTAGTAATCTGATATCTGTTTTGCATTTCTCCAATTAAAATGTTCTGGTATGTTTTGATACTAACCGGTAATATGTATAGGGAATCGTATGAGAGACTATTGGAACAGTAAAATATGTGATCGCGTAGTCTTAGGCGGTCATGGCCTACTGTCAAATCAACAATCTGCGTATTTTACTTATTTAAATTATGTAAATTATATAACAATGTTATTAAAGTTCATCGGGTTTAAAGGAAAGTACAGCAATGATCACGTGTACCTCAACACGCAGCCGTTAATGTAAATGTGCAGCCGATACAATGAAATCACTAATTTACACTTTTCATATATGCATACATAAGTATGTACATAATTACTTAAAATGAAAACTGATAAGAAACAAGCTTGCGAGTCAAGTTCAAATCGCTGTGTGATGACTGCTGATCTATAAACTAGATTCCTGCTAAAAATTGCTGTGACCATATAGTTTGGGTTAAAGGAAGACATATACGGTTTGAGATTCAGTACACATACTTATATAGCTATATACATCTCTACATATATATTCTATGTTATAAGCTATTATAAGAAATGTCTAAATACATATATACTTATATACACATGCTTATGCTCTTATATATATGCCGAGTTCTGTATGTACCATATGCGCTAAACTCACTATCTCCGCTGAGTCTGTGGATCATAAATCATAGTACAAATGCGCACAATTATCACGATTTTCAAATAGTATTTTTTATCTTATCAGTTGTGTAGCGTGTGTGTGCCTAGGCTACTCAATTTTATATTATATTAAGCTGCTGTCAAATAACGTAAGTGCTGGCCCCCCAACGAAGCTGATAAGAAATGTGTTGCATTCATTAAGACTGTCAGATACGCTACAGTTCAGGCAAGACTGTATGTACTACTATATCTGTAATCTCTTAACCTTAAAAGTTACAATAAATAAATTGAAAATATAATTAAGTGTAGATTTCGATACATTTTTTAAGACAATTAAAATGCAATATAATACAAATTTTTATAAAAATGTTTGCTTGAGCATCACACATAATCACAAAATTTTACATTTTAATTTTTCCAAATATAACCAAATATTTTTTTGGTAAGTATATTTGCTAATAAAAAAAATTAGTGCAAAAATTTTTTTATAAAAAAAAATAATATTCAATATATTAAAATTTTTTATAAATGCATTTAACTTTATTTTCATAGCATATATCTTCAAATATGATATTTTTTTGTTGTATTGAATTTTTTGCAAATATAAACAATATTTCCTTAATATGCACGTATATTTACTTAAAAAAAAAAGTTTGAATTTCTATTTAAAAATTTTTTGTATTAAAAAATTTTTATATGATAATTGAAATTTTATTTTTTAAAGTGACATAACCTAACATATAAATTACTTAATTGATTTTGAAATTATTAGTTAAAAAAAAAAGACCACAAAGCCCTAAGAACACTTTGTAGCGTACCATATCAACATATGATGGCACTCAAGCAGCCAAAAAACACAGGAAAAAACGTTAACTTCGGTTGCACCGAAGTTGGAATACCCTTCACAAGTAATAAAGTTTCGAAACAAGAACTTGATTTTGATCGTTCGGTTTGTATGACAGCTATATGATATAGTTTTCCGATCGGAAAAACTTCTTCAAATGTTGTAGTGTCCACTTCGAAAAAAATATATATCAAATTTCTTAAAGATATCTCGTCAAATACAAAACATTTCCATACAAAGTCTTGATTTCGAACGTTTAGTTTGTATGGCTGACATATGCTATAGTAGTCCAATCAATAAACTTTCTTCAGGTATTGTAGCGTTGTCTGAGAAAGTAATCTATGCCAAATTTTGTACAAATAACTTGTCAAATGAAAAAGTTTTCCGTACAAGCACTTGATTCCGATCGTTTAGTTTATATGGCAGCTATATTTTATAGTGATCCGAGATCGACGGCTCCGACCAATGAGCAAGTTTTTAGAGAGAAAAGAACGTGTGCAAAATTTCAGATCGATAGCTCAAAAACTGAAGGACTAGTTTGCATATATACAGACAGGCACGCGTACAGACAGGCGACCATGGCTAAATCGACTCAGCACGTCATGCTGATCACTTAGATATATATTTTATAGGGTCTCCGACTTTTCCTTGCGGATGCTACAAACTTCGTGACAAACTTAATATACGCTGTTGAGGGTATACAAAAATAATTAAGTTCTGACTAGTGTGCATATGTTATGCGCGCACTTATAAGACTTACGCCCCAGTACCAATTTTATTTTTTATTGTTGTTATAATCAGCTATGAGTACATACATATAAGTGTTCATGATAAGAAATTGTACCGGTTGTTTTTGTTGTTGCGTTGGCTTATTTTTCTAGTTATTTATAGAGCGACCAGCCAGCGTCTAAACTACGCATTTGTTGATGTTAGATTGTGGTCAGTACTTGTTGTTGTTGTTATTTGTTTGTGGATTAATATTATAACTGCGCTCAGCAAATACATGCAATTAGCATAATTAAAATTAATAATTAATTATACATCGCAACAAAATGTTGCTATTAAGTTGTAGTTTAGTCCTCTGACTGCAGATAATGTTTATTTTTTATTTGAATATATGTGTGTGTATTTAAAAAAAAATAATAATAATAGTTTGTGAAACAAAAAAGTTGAATTATTATAGAAAAAAAAACAAAAAGTGCAAAAAACATTATATTTTTTTTAATAATAGTGGAAGGTTAGAACTTTTGAATAATATTTAAAAATATGTATGTATTATAGCCCGTTAAACTAAGCAATTGCATGTTTTTAGTGGGAAAGTCTTCTTCTTGTTTAATTATTATTTCATTAACCCGACGAAAATCACGCTAGGTCATATGAACTCGAAAGTTTTACCGTTATCTACAGATTGGTTGAAAAGCTTCTGCTCCCTCAAAGAAATAGCACTACTAGCTCCAAATTATCCTCAAGTTGATGCATCTGTCGTGAGAACACATGCAAAGTTACTAGTCATGCTGTCAATTAGTTCTTTGTTTACCAGCCATTGAAATTGTTGTGCCAAAGTATTTTTTTAATATGGAAAAAATTTAATAACGCGCAGTGATTAGATTCTTTGTTTTGAAAGGTTTGAAAGCAAAAGAAATTTTTACAAGTTGTAAGGAGTCCTCACCTTCAGTACAAGGCTTGAAGACGAACCACGCGAAGGACGACCAATAACCGCAACCACACCAGAAATCATTGGGTAAGTTCATAATATTGTTAGTGAAGATCCAAGTATAACTGAGCGGGAAATTGCTAATGCCATAAGTATTTTAGACGAAGGAATACTTTATATTTAACAGGAAAAAATGCTCAGCATAATTTGGAGCATTTTAAGCTGAATAAAACCGATTTCCTGCGTCGTTTTATAATTATGAATAAGACTTGGATCTACCACCATGATCCTAAATTGAAACAAGAACGTTTGCAGTGGATTGAAGCTTGTTGTTCAGCTCCAAAGCAGGAGAAGTCACAACGATCAGCTAAGTAGTTTATGGTATCAGTTTGTTGGGATGCAAAAGGAATTTTGTTGCTTGATTATCTGCAGAAAGGTAAAACAATAAACTATAACAATCAACAATCATCAATACAATATAATTTTTCTTCAAGACCTGCTAACAAAGGTGTTTCAGCAATTACAAAATTCAACGAATTAAAGTATGAATAGCTTGAGCATTCACCGTATTCACCAGATTTGGGTCTCAACGGCTACTACCTCTTTAGAAACCTGAAACAATTCCTTCGTGGCAAGCGTTTTTCGTGGAATAATCTATTACAGCCGTAGACGGGTATTTTGTAGAGCTTTCGGTAAGTCATTATAGGGATGGCATAAAATTATTAGAGCATCATTGGAATAATTGTATTGAGGTTAAGGCAGATTTTATTGAATAAAAAAATATATTTCATACCGAAAACATTATTTTTTCATTTCAACCGCAGAAAACTTTTCAACCAACCTGTATGTACATAGCTCGTGCTACATGAAGCATTAGCGGATAACATTTATTTTTCTCGGTGTATCTGAGTGCTATGCTTGTTATCACATCATAAAAATATTGCTACTTATAAAAATTTATTAACACAATTATTATTTTTTTTTTTAATTTTTATATATGTTTTTTTAAAGTATTTTAATTTTTTTTTTTAAATTTTTAAATTTTTTTTAAGTATTTTAAAAAATTTAAAACGTTGTAGTTGCATATAGAAAATAAAAAATTGTTATAAATAGTTTGATATTTATTTTTTATATTTCCATATGTTTGTCAAAAGATATTGAAACTATTTATATTTAAACGCATATTATATATGTTATATGTATATATACATTTTAAGACATCAATAAAGTAATTAAAAATGTATGCTGTGTTTATAATATATTTATTTTTCCTGTTTAAATAATTAAAAATAAATAGTTTTACTTCATTTTGACAAGCATATGGCAGTATGAAAAAAAAATTTTTTTTAAGACGTCAATAAAAAATGTAATATGCGCTTAAAAATAAATAGTTTCAATATCTTAATATAAAAAATAAATTTAAAACTATTCATAACAATATTTTATTTTATACATGAAACTACAAATATATACTATAAAATAAATAAGAAATAAATATGTATTTATTTTTCCCGTTTTTATATTTCCATATGTTTGTTGAAAGCAATTGGAAGCATTTATTTATTTATGGTTAGATTTTTGTTTTTCTTGCGTCTTAAAATAATACCCATAATGCCACACTTTTGTGGCAATTATGAAGTATTTTTTTTTGTTTTTTTTTGAGTACTTAATTGAAAAAAAAATATTGTAGCATAGCTTATTATTGTTTTTCATATATTTTTCCCAACATAACAACTTCCAAAAATATTTTATATAAAACGTTCGTTACAATACAACTCACCAAAAGAACTTTTGGACAACATTATGCCTTAATATGCTGCTATAGACCCAACACGGTATGAAATCCTTTCGAAATGCACTTTTTAGAAACACACTTAATTTCCCAACGTTGTTGGCTTTCGTGTTGCGCGCCTCAATTAATGCCAATTTATGTTGATTTTTTAAATGTCAATGCAGTCGCGAGTCCAGTTTTAATTCAACTTATCTATTTGAGTTAAATTTTTTTTTGTAATGAAAACAAATCACACATTTACATATGAACTTTCAAGTTACAACAAACAGTTCAATGGCACTGCAGCAAGAGGAGACAAGCAACAGCTGCAGTAAGCAACTATACGAGTTAATCGCTAGTGAACTGCTACGAGCGGTGACAACAACGCAACTAAAAGTTTCAATTTATTGAAAACCACTTGGAAGCCAAGCGCGCACACACACGCGCACATGTGCGCGGCTGCGGCATGTGACAAGCCGCGTTCGTCGCAACAAATGTCCAAATAGCCAGTAAATGTCGTTGGCGTCAGCGCCAGCGTCGCCGACTGCAGCGCAGCTGTTTCGTGTGTTTTGATGGCAGGAGTGCGGTTAGTGTGAAATCGACGCGCTGCAATCAGTATCAACAATTGATAAAATATGTATTTACATATTAAACAAATACACACACATACATGCATGCCAATACATATACATTTGCGCTAGAACTAGTGTGGTTGTGTGCGCGCTTTCAGGCGCACTTGCGTTTTGTGCTCGCTTCTAGCGCGTTTTACTCACATATGCACTTTTATGCATATGTGTGTATATATGTATGTGTATGTAATCCATGCTTTCGTGCCTTCTGTGGCGCCGCACCATTTGCGGAAAGCATTTCGATTGGCGCCCAGGTCGCACCAGTTTTGTTGTAGTATTGCATTGCGGTCGCGTGCTGGCGCACTCGTGTGCCGAACAGGGTCTCGGTCTCTGTGTTTGATAAGCAAACAGCAGTAATCAACGCAACAGCGCTTAAACTGATTAAATTAGTGTAAATGTTTACGTGCAGCGGCAGCATAAAATGTGGATCTCGCCGCGTTGAAAGTGAAAAGGTAAACAAAGTTGTTGGCGGTGTGAAATTTTCCTCGGCAGACACTTACATGTTTGAAGAACTCTTTGTGCTCGTTGAGCGTTTTATCAGTGGGCTGATACTGATTAATACTGTTAGTTTTGAATTAAAGTAAACTTCTCGCCCAAAGAACTTGTGGTACAGGTAATCGGGGCCATAAGATGCATGAGTTAAAACACAACAAGGTTTTGAACTTCTTATGCAGCCACTACTGCTTTTTTAGGCCAATTTTCTGTTTCTGCCCGATTTAATACCCTTAAAGGTTATTCCGGTAGAGACGCGCCAATTTCGAAGGACATTCGTATGACGTTTATATCTGTCATAAATGAATCTTAGACATTTCTTAGATGACATATTGATATCCTGACTGCAGAACTTAACGCCACTGACCAAAAAAGTATAGAATCTTCGTCAATTTGACGTATCAAAGCCATAAGCCAAAGTAAGAGATTGGACCTAAGTAAAAGAACCATATGTAGAGATCTCATAGCATTTCAGCTAACCCTGCCCTGGCAGGCAATTAAATGATGTTGCATTCTCTTTTTATTCTAATTTTTGGAACAAATAATAAATAATATTGATTTTCTATTAAAAAAAATTGCAATCGGTACGATCTTATTGGAAAAGCATGCGTAGTTAAATTATTTGCCACACACCCTATACGCAACTACGCTTATACACGTGTATATAGATGCAATATGTGTCTTGATATCAACTTTCAAGCCATCTATGTTTAGCTCATAACTACAACAATAATAATAATAATGAAAACTTAATCCGCGCACAGAAATTCATAGTAGCCGCGATTGCGTGTGTTATTGCAGCTGCATCTGTGCCGGCTCCTTAGCGCACGCCTTCACACCTTTGCAACGCACACACACACACAAATTACACGAAGCGAATGCAAATGCGAAACCAGTTATTAAGGTGCGTTAAGTGGAAAATACAATTTTAGACACATTTTCTTCGTTCACTGTACGCATTTCATAGGCTTATGATTATATGTATGTAAACATGTTTATGCCTATGTATCTACGTAAATAAGTTACAGACACTTAGAGATTGTTTCTGAAAATAATAAATAAAAGACACAATTTTCAAGACGCAAGTTTCGAACTTTAATTTTATTTCTAATACATATTCCTTTATCTCTTTACTTTATTATTTGTAAAACTAGAAAATGATATGAATTTTTTTTAACAAAAAAAAAGTTAAAGTAAATGGGCGACAATCGAAGGGTTTTTTGTGTATCAACAAATTTGTTTGGATTTCTGTCAAAAATAGGGTTTTAAAGCCTTAAATGACCTTTCATATTTTCGAAAACCTAAATCAACGAAATATGCGGGAGGGTAAAAAAAATTTCAGTATTAACAAGCAGTTAAAAATTTAATAAAAATTTAAATTACAAACAAAGTTAAAAAAATTAATATATAATTTAAAAAAAATTGAAATTAAAAAAACAATAATAATAATTTAATAATATAAATAAATTATTGTACGAAAGAAAAGACTTTATGAAAAATTAATTTATTTATTATAAAAAACTTAATGAAATAAAAAAAAATTATTTAAAAAAATGATAATAAACTAAATAAATTATAATACAGAATTATTGAATTATAAAAATTAAATAACATATAAAAAATCATTAAAAATATGAACAATTATAATTTATATATGTAAATTTAGTTTATAAAACAAAAGGAATAAAAAATAAATTATTATAAATAAATAAATAAATTAATTAAAAAAATTATAAAATAGTAAAAAAAAATTATACAATAAAATATTATAAAAAAATTTATTAAATTATAAAACAATAAATAAATTACATAAAATATGAAAAAATTAATAAATAAAAAAAAAATTTAAAAATAAACAATAAAAACAAAATATAAAAATTAATAATAAAAAAATATAAAAATAAATAAACAAAACAATTACTAAAAAAAATTTTTTAATCAAATAAAAATAAAAAATTAATAAAAAACTATTGAAAAACATATATTAAAATAAAAAATAAATCAGAAAATATATGAAAGCATTGGTAAATTACAAAACAGAAAATAAATTACAATAAAAAATTATAAAAAAATTTATTAAATTATAAAACAATAAACAAATTACATAAAATATAAAAAAATTATAAAAATTAGTAATGAAAAAATATAAAAATTAACAAAAAGAAATATTATAAAAAAAGTATGAAAAAATTATTGAAAAATATTATTAAAAAAATTACTAAAAAATTATTTAAAAAAATATATTAAAAAATAAATAAATTATAAAAATCATAATATTATATATATGAAAACATAAGTAAATTACAAAAAAGAAAATAAACTAAAATAAAAAATTATAAAAAACTTTATTAAATTAGAGAACAATAAATAAATTACATAAAATATAAAAGAATTATTAAATAATAAAAATAACATAAAAATTAACAAAAAAAAATATTATAAAAAGTGATTGAAAAATATTATTTGAAAAATATTATTAGAAAAATTATTAAAAAATTATTTTAAAAACATATTAAAAAAAATTAATAAATTATAAAAATCATAAAAAATATAAAAAAATAATAATAAATTATAAAAATCGTAAAATATATGAAAACATTAGTAAATTACAAAAAAGAAAATAAACTACAATAAAAAATTATAAAACAATAAATAAATTACATTAAATATGAAAAGATTAATAAATAATAAAAAATATAAACAAAAAAATTAACAAAAAAATATATGAATATGTTAAAAACAGCATGAAAAAATTGTTTAAAAAAAAATTATGAAAAATATTTGAAAATATATAATTGAAAAATTAATTAATTATAAAAATCATAAAATATATGAAAACATTATTAAATTACAAAAATATATAAAAATTTGTACGTATATATAAAATATAAATAAATATATTAAAAAAATGATCAAACAAATTTATAAAACAAAAAATTCGTGAAAAAAGAAACTATAAAAATTGATACAAAAAAATTTAACAAAAATATAACAAAAAATGTGTACATACTATGTGTATTAAAAATATAAATTATTAAAGATAATTAACATAAAATTAAAACAGCTTTGATATTTTATAACTCAAAATTAAATATGAAATTGAAAACTAAAAGAATATCAAAAATATTGAGCAATTAAGTTTCCTAAGAAAAGTGAAAATGAGAAGAAGAAATGATATTGAGACTAGATTATTAATTAAAATTATAAACAAATTTTGTTTTTGAAGCTAAATCTTGTTTCAATAGATTATTAATTAAAATTATAAACAAATTTTGTTTTTGAAGCTAAATCTTGTAAAATTTAAAAGCAGACTTCAAAACGGCGGTATAAATGAAACGTCAAAATGAAAGTTAAAAGCAGACTACAAAACGTCATTAAATGCATACTACTTAACTCATTTATAATTTCTGTAAATATGATTTTAAAAAGGTATAGCATACTTTTAGGCGCTTGAGCTATATACGCAGAAATCAAGACATACAGTGTACAATAACGGTTTTGAAGAGCATTTGCATATTCTTTCTGCCAGTTACCACCCACACGTGCCAAAATGGTGGAAGTTATAAGAAAATATGCGTGCGAAAATAAACATTTATACAGCAACGTTGATATTGGAGAGATAACAAACACTTTTGTTTTTCATTTTTTGCAACTAATTTGTTTTTATTTTGCTTTCCACACTACTAAAGTCAATTGTTTAAAGCAGTTCAAAACATATTTTTCACGTTTTTTACACAATTTTTCTTCTGCTGAAATCACAATAAATGATATAATTAACGTTATTATGTACACATAAACAAGCACTAATTTGTTGCACAATATTGAGATAATCAAAACAGAAGGCAAACAAATAAATCATAAAAAACAATGTTTTTCAAATTAGACTACTGTTGTTGTTATTATATATGTATGTAGGTAAGTTTTTACTGTTTTTTATTCTTTTTATGGTGCTCGGCATTATTTTATGCAAAGTTTCTGTTTTTAACGCTATTTATCATAACATAATGCTTCAAAACTTGCTTATACGATTAATAGTTGTTATTGTAGCGCGATTAGGCGCGTTTATTTTCGCTTGTGTATATTTGTGTGTGAGTGTGTTCGTTTGCACGTTATTGCTTAACTTCTGTATAAAGATAAAAGGCATTTATTGCATTGCTTAGGCAAAGTATAAAGACAATGCAAATAATCAATTAACTTACAATAAACAAATAACTCTTAAATGAGCAGTACTAAAAATTAAGCGATATTCCAACAATTTTGTGGCATTTATGTTTATAGTTAAATGTATTTATGTAGTGAACATGATACTGCTTTCTTTATACTCTTTCATTCGAGTTTTTGCATTTTATTTTTGTTTGTTTTAAATTTAGTTAATCCGCAGTTTGTAGTTACGAATATACGATTATGTATTATATTTGATATAATTTAATGCATAGTTGAGTGGAACAAATCGAATTTGTGACCAAATGAAAGTTATATTTATTCATATTGTTAGCATTGTATGTAACCGATAAAAATTTAAAATTAAAATATTGCTGCATACAAAATTACAATGTAGGTCCATCCGAGTAGTCCTCATAATCATCACAATCGTCTAAGAAGTCTGAAAATAAGTCGGGACTAACATCGTAGCCCACACGAATTTCAGTATTCTCAATGTCAGCAGCCATTTGACGTAAATTATCCACACCAGCGAGTAGTTGCCTGACGAAATAGAGCAATTAGTTTAACTTAAAGCTTAACAATGTTTAAATGCAACCAACCTTAAGTTATTTTCCGCATTTGATGCTGCCCTCAGCAAATCTCTCGAAAATTGTTGTGTTCTGGACGGTCGGCCCACAGTGCCACGCACACCCGCAGCGGCGCCTGCAGCAGCACCGACACTGGCGGCGCCACCAGCACTCGCATCCGAAATCAATGGACGCGCACGATCACAGTATGGTACATTGAAGCCGCCCACGGCACCCTCTTCGCGCAGCGTCTCATTTTCGTGACGCAACGTCTCCAATTCGGTCTGCATAGTTTTTTAAGAGTTAGTGAAAAATATGTTTTTATAACAAAACTGTAGCTTACCGTCAGCTTGGACACCTGCTGTTTCAGCTTCATGACATAATTTTGCGGTGTTGCTCCCGCTGCTGCTGCTGCGGCGTTGCGCGTGCGTTTACTTTTTTCCGCTAAACCTTCAACGCGCTCAGTCGTTTGCAGCTCTTCAAGCTTGTGCTGCTGTTGCTGTTGGTTTTGTTGTTGTTGCTGTTGCTGCAGCTCACTGGCTTGCAACTGATGTTCCAAGTCATTAGCACGCCGCGTCTGTTCATTAAGTGCTATGCGCGCGTCATTTAATTCCCGTTGTAAACGATCGTTTTCAATGCGCAGCCGCGCTAATTGTGACGACATCGGCGGATCATCTGGCGAGCCTATGGAATTAGATGGCAAACCGACAGCCACATCGGCCAGTCGCTGTGAAGAGTGTATTATTGGGCCGTCAGAGAGAAAATCTGGCAGCATTTTGGCGTTGCCAGCAGTAGACTCGGCTGTTGCACCGCCACCGCCGCCGCCCCCACCATACACGGACGAGGGTCCGGGTATGCCGATACCAGCGCTCACACCATTACCACCAGCTACATCACACACGTTGCTCTGGCCAACGACGCCACCACCACCACCACCACCAATTGCACCACCCGCCACATCGACATCACTAAAATCGCGTATCGGCGAATTAGGCGGCGAATTGTGATGCATATCGTGTGCATACCACGAGTCAAGCCAGTGATCTTGTACGAAATCAGGCAAAATCGCGGCGGGAAATTCACCTGCATTGCTGGGCAGTGGACGAGTGACTGGTGGTGCGGCCGCCACTGCATCACCGCCACAAGCGCCGCTATTTATGTCACAGAGTGGCAAATTCCCTTTCGGTTTGGACGAATTTGTATTTAAGGCAAGTCGTGTGGGACGCGCTTCCCTCATTCCGGCGCTAGCGCTAACGCTTGGAGCACCAGTACGACGGCGCGGCGATGCTGATGAGGATGACATAGGCATTTCATAGTTTGAATACGAACGTGGTACATATTGATGTCGATCGTATTCACTCGCATTATTTATGGTGTTGCCTATGCCCGCACCACCATCACCTATGCCACGGCTGCTACGTGAGGGCGTCGCGAAAAGATCTGTAAAACACAAGCAACCAAAAGTAGGAAAAAAAAAAAATTAGTACAAATGTTTTAAATATTACCGCTACTCTCTGGGTAGGGCATTGCAAACAAATCTGTAATCATAAATAAACAAAAAATAATAATAATAATAAATAAAGAAACAATAAATTTAAAATGGAGCAAATGTTACCACCACTCTCGGGATAAAGCCTAAAACCGGAGTTTGCATTCGCGCCAACACCAGCACCTCGCACACCACTCGGCCCAGTGCTGCTGACGCCCTCTATTTCCCCATCTGCACCGCTAGTCACATATTCGGCAAGACTTGCTTGCGAGTCAAATGACGAAAATCGTGGGGAACGTTTCATTTTTGTGGCTGATGTACCAAACGAATTGCCACCGTCAGGTTGTCCTGCACTATTGGTTGCCGACAAACCGCCAGCCATAAGCGATGATATTGATGTACTGGAAAGCGAAGCTGACTGAGGAACTTTGGGCCGTGCGCCAGTTGACGTTTGAATTGACACACCACTGCTGGAAGCTGTTCTTACAGTATTATTTTGTGAACCGTTCGTGCTACTGGACGCCGATGTATCCAATGATGTGACTGTCACAGTGCTGGATGGCGCCGTAATAGGTGGTCCACTACTTAAGAAATGTTTAAAAGAAAATGAAGATGAATTTTGAGTTGGCGCCACATGCGGTTGTGGTACATGTTGGCTAGTTATACTGCTGCTTACAGGTTCCCAAGTAGAACTGATATTTGTCTGTTGCATAGTGGCTATTAAAACCAATGGGAAAATATTTCACTTCCAAAAATTGCAATATCTTTTGTTTGCAACTTACCGTCTGCTGGACCGCTGCTATTTATACGGCCGTTTGTGTAATCACCATAACCACCATTATTGTCACTACCTGTAATTGGTCCATTTAAACAAAGGTCCGCAACCAGGTCATTGAGTTTGCCACGCATAAAACTCGACGTAGACGCACCAAAGTGATTACTTCTAGAACTTGTACCGGCACAGTCTCCACCACCTGCACTTGTGACCTTGCTCTTGTCACCGGTTCTGGTTATATCTCCCACTATCACATCGGCCTCACAATATGACACCGCAGTTGATATTTCTGTTGCATTCGATGTCGACGACGTCACACCCACAGATGCGTTAAGTGAATCCACACCGTTGTTGTTGCTGTTGCTACTACTACTACTACTACTATTGTTGTTGTTATGTTGCACTTCATCGTTTTCTTTTGCCATTATTTGTTTTTGTTTTGCGCAATTCTGCTATTGTTGTTGCCGCTACGTTACTTTTCTAGTCGTTGTCCCTGTCTGCAGTTTTTTCGTGCAGTTGCAATGGCAATTTTTCGCCTTTGTTCAGTTTCTCTTACCGCTGCTTGCACTTATTGCACATTAACTGGCTTTTTTGTTTAAGCTATGCGTTTCCTCATAGAAGATTCAAAAATTGCACATTTATATTAATTAAAAAAGCGCAACAATACTTTGTTGGATTTGAAAGTTTACAGAAAATTTCAAGAATTGTTAATTTTCTCAAATCTGAAAGGCCCTTCAGTCAATGATGCCAGATGTGTGTAATGCACAATTTTGTAGAGGATTGTAGTAATCATTGTGACCCGCAATTTTTTAACATAGAAAAATATTAAACTAACTAAATTTAATGTTTAATATTGTAATTTATTGACTATAGCATACTTATAGTTTCATGCTTTAATATTACTTAAATTATGTATTCGGAAATCATTTGAGTATATGTCAGTTGTACCTATTGTTGTTAAAAAAGCATTGTGATGATGAACGTTTTATTTTCTTTATTGTTTTGATCAAAACAATTAGCGAATAATTTAACACAATAATAGCTGTACAATAATGTACAATATATATAGTTAGTTTATTCTTAAATGAAAAATCACTTAATTTTTTATTAATAATTTCCTATTATTTTTTATTGTGATTCTGTCGTGGCCTTTTATGTAAGCTGATTGTGAATTATTCAAATAGATAAAGAAGAGAATAAACAAAAGCAGCTGTTTGCTTCAATAAAAAGTATTTACAAATATAAACAATTATTTTTAACGATTGTTATCAAGATGGAAGTGATACATTGTACTCCCACAGAGGAAGAGCTTTTGCCAGAACGAGAAATTCGGTGTACATTTAATGAATGTAATTCGATTTTTACAAATGCTGGTAATATGGATATGCACTTACAACGGCACCATGGCAAGGAGCCTAGGAAAAGATCAGATTTAAAAGAAAAACAGTGTGTTTTTCATTGCCCAAAGTTACAGTGTACATATCACGAGCAGCACGCTGGTAAAATGCATTTCAAAACACTAAAATACTTACGACAACATTACAAAAAAGTGCATGCAACTAAAATAAATATCTGTGATAAGTGTGGAAAGGCTTTTGTCAGTGTCAATCAGTTAAAGACTCATATGGAAAAATTGTGCGGCATCAAATACAGCTGTATGGAGTGTGGTTGGGATTATAGCAGTAAGGAGGCACTTTTGACACATGGTAAACGCAAAGGACATAAGATTCGAAACAATGGTTTGGTTGAAATAAAATCAAAACATCGTCAACAATCACAGTCACAACAAGTAGCAAGTCAAAGTAATGATCAGGAAACGCAAACTGAAGGTAAGAGCTAAATACAAATTTTAATCCTTTTTATGGTAATCTTTTTATTTCTCAACAGTTCTGCCTGTATCGAAATATGTGGCAAAGAACGACATATCGACAGAAACAGAAGATTACCATTCGTTTGGTAAACATGCATCAACGAATACACATTCGCCTACTGACATAGAAACCCAAACAGAAAGTAATATGTTAAATTCAATGCAACATACCTCCTACAACACTTTGAATACTACCTTGAATAACTCATTGCCTACTATGCAGTTCCTGCCTCCTTCTACACATACATACACACAGACATACGATGATTTGTTTACCGATTCTTTGCTGGGTTTCACCGATATACAAACACAAACCAATTGGTCCAGTTTTTCTGACGCCGCTACGGAGGCAGCAACTAACGAAGACGTTTCTGTACACCAATATAACACATCCAGTGCAGGTACATGTACACGCTGTGCTTCTGATGAGTTGTTAGTGTCGACAGAGACGCAAACCAGTTTCACTCAATGTTTACTCGAATCGCGCACAGCTAATGGCGATACAGAGGATGGAAACTTTAGTCTGTATCAAACACAACATACGCAAACTTGTGACATGCTGCTGGGTGCCCTTTTTGGTGCACAAGAGAGTGATTTGATTGGAGGATTTCAGTCCACCTATACACAAACATGATGGTTTGACTTGGACTTGCATGTCATAGGTGATGGAGAAGAAGAAAGTTGGAGAGACTAAGCCGAGTAAAATTAAAAATAAAAATATTTTTCTTGCATATTTCATTTTATGCATTGTTAGAATACCTGATTGATACTATTTTTTAATAATTTTTAATAACTACAATACTGTCGTAGCTTCAAGGAAAATACGTTACGAAAATAATTACTATTATAAAATAATAAATTCGACGTATTTTGATAGCCTAGGTTAATTTATATAATTAACTAAAATAAACTCGTAAATCAGACCTTAATACGTTTTTGTTATATTAAGATTTTCGAATCTTTAATTTTTGGCCTTGAAGGTTGTTTTCTTATTTAAAAAAAATGGAGCTTTGACAAATTTTGTTCTATTACTGAGTTTTGTCATGTCTTTACCTTGACATTCGCTTTAATACGAACAAAACTTCTCTTGAACAAAAAACGGATGAACGCCACATAGAGAAACGCATAAACAAAACAAACAGCGGTGTATGGTAAGGTGATAAAAATCACAGAAAACTCATTTCGGCTATTTAAAAGAAAATTGAAAAGAAATTCTTATTAATGTTTACAATGTTTTCAAATAAGAAATCAGCATAAAATAATATGCATGTGGTGAAAGAAAAGTGCACAAAAGTGCGCACTTACGCATTATAAGCAGCTAATGCGTCGGGCGAAAGGTTTTTTCGTGTAGTTGTGTCCGTGTGTGAAAAAGGGGAGGGAATTGGTTTGTTAAATTGGACTGTGAAGAAAGTAGAAATGGTAGAAACTCTATCGTCGCCGCCACCGAAGATTTCGAGAAATACTGCACAGAAAATTCGATGCAAAGCTGTCGCATAATAAATTCACTTTCAAAATATTAGTCCTTGTGATCAAATTAATATAGTAAATATATTGCGTACGTAATTAAAATACGATCAAAAACTACATAAGTGAAAAATAGTACAACTGGTAAAATTGGTAATATTTACATACGAAAGCAAAACAGCTAAAAACAAAAATGTATACCTGGCTAAGGTGTAGCGCAGCTATACGGTGGCATTAAAAACGCTGATAATACGGAAAATTGTGTAGCGTAAAAACCATATATACGGGTGAGGTCAAGTAGGCTGACCACTCGTACCGTCGTTTAAAACGCAGTCAGGCAGTCTACTGCTTACACGGCTATGTAGGGTGAGGCTGCATCACAGTGAATTTATGCATTTTTCGACTATCAAGCAATATTAAGAGTATATATATATATATATATATATGTATATACATATATAAGCGGTTAAATTACAGTGAAGTTAACATACAAAGAGACGGCAACCAAGTTCTGCAATTCTACACATTAAAAAAAATCAAACAAAAAAGAAAGCGGGCCATTGGTCAGTGATTGTTAGCTTATATCCTGTTTCTGCCGAACCGAAGCGATGGTGAAAGGTGACTTCTAATAAAATACATATTTATGTCTTGTCTATTTGACTGCCATATTCTGCTATTTATTTTAGTACTTATAATGCAGCGTGTGAAATTGGGTGGCGATGAATTTAGAGAGGCAAAATTATTATCCTGTAATCCAATATGGGTGTGCCGGGTATTTGTAAAGCATAACTAAAAATTAATTTGCGCAGCAGCAACAGTAACCTACGATTTCACAGTGTTATAAATAATCAAGTTTGGAAGGAAGAGGCAAGGAAGAAAATTTAAGCTAACAAGCCGGCAAGCCATATTTGGCCCACCCCGCACTTCTATTTACTACATTGACATTCACACACATATGCTTTCACATAAAAGGTAAAAATCAATGTCTATGCCTTCTCTATAAATTTTGTTCTTATTGATATTTTTCGAAGTGCTGTTCGTAAGCGCAGACTTAAGGACGACATACTGGTCAGTTCAATATAATTAATGCAATATGGTACGCATTACTCTTTATCAAATGCAATAATACGAGCATGTTGTGAATTTACACAGATATATATAAGTGTGAAAAAGTGTATTATATTGTTTTTAAATAATTTTGTGAGTTTTGTTGGTAATATGTGTAGGAAAATGTCGTTAGATTCAAAAGTCGTAATCAATCAAAATCATATTGGGAAATATTGGGTTATGAAAATAACATATGAATCTCATAGTATTACGTTCCTTAAATAGTATGAAGAATCCTTGAAATTGTACGAAATAAGTCTTCCAAATTATGTATGCCGTGGAATATATATTTATTCATTCCTACATTTTCAGATATTGAGAAAATCATTTGCTTCCTGAATGAGGTTTAGCCGCGATTCATCCTCTGCGCTCCGTTACGCAAAAATTAACTGCGGTTAAACAGAAAATTCTCCGTAGCTTGCGATCTCTATTTTGCCAATGCCTAATAACGTTATAAAAAATAGCAGCGCCAGCAGTACCAGTAATGGGCGCAGCAGCAGCAGCAACAATAGTAGCAGCAGTAGTGCCAATGCAAATTCAGCAAAGTCAATTAATAGCCATAAAAATGAGACAAAAGCCTTGTCTGCCGCCTCGTCTGCAATGTCTACTTTTGTAGGATCATCCAACACACTGCCAGACAAAAGCGTTATAATTAAACAATCAAACAACAACGAACGCATTGCTTCACATCGGCGTGATGGTTCCAATATTACTGGTATACAGCGACCACCATATCGTAAGTTACAATATATAAACCCACAGACGCATTTTCGCAATGCCACAGCATCAACAGAAGCCTTAGGAGATGCGACGCTAAATGACAGTTGTAGTGATGTGCTTGTCTACTCCGAAGATGGCCATCTGGTCTCGGCTAGTTTAGAGGCGCTCATCACACATATGGTGCCCACAAGCGATTACTACCCAGAAGAAAATTTCATATTCGCATTTTTACTTAGCGCACGCCTATATGTGAGGCCGCATGAATTACTTGCACAAATATCACAAACCTGGGAGCGTCAGCAGCAACAACAGCAGGAACTGAAACAGCAACATAATCTACAACAAGGCGTGGACGTCGTCGACGAGGCACATTTCAGCCATTTGGCCGTCGCTGCCTCAGCATCGCCGTTAATGCAGCGTAAAGCTGCGAATAGTGCCGTTTTATTGCCACCAACAGTTGGCCATAATGAGGTAAACGTAATTGTGGAGGGCCACCTCAAACAGCGTACAGCCATACAGTTGAGTGCCCAGAATTGCATACGTTTGCTTGCCGAATGGATTGAGACATTTCCATACGATTTTCGAGATGAACGCCTAATGCAGCAGGTGCGCATATTGGCGCGGAAATGTGTCTACATTGATAATGCGCTCGGCAGGCGAGTGTCAAGAATTTTACAATTGCTTGTACATCGCCTCACCGTGCTGGAACAATATGAGGCGACATTGCAAGCAATGGCAGCTACTGATCTCAACACGGTGGGCAATAATCAGCAACAACTACCGCACTACAACACATCGGCAGCGGCGTCCACTACAGCTAGCACTCAAAGCGGCACGCACAATTCGCTAGTGGGTTGTGTAAAAAGTCATACACTGCACACAACCAGCATAACAGAGGCAAACAAACCAACCACAATCACAAACAATTCAAACTCATTAGGCTCTGTGGCCGTAGCAGCTGTAGCAGCGGCCATAGATGGCAATAGTGCGCATGAAGTGCACGGCATTATGGACATATGTCCAAGTTGTGCGCAGTTGGCGCATCAGCTGACCGCCATTGAACTGGAGCGGCTGTCACACATTGGTCCCGAAGAGTTTGTGCAAGCTTTCGCCAAGGAATATCAACATACTATTGATGGCAAATCAACAGCAATTACAACAACTAGCAGTGGAAAGAATGCGGCGAGCGTTGACTCCACGACGCTGAATGATATGAAGAAAACGCGCAACCTAGAATCGTACGTGGAGTGGTTTAACCGGCTGAGTTACCTGACGGCATCGGAGATTGTAAAGGTAACTACCAGCACTGCAGTGTGTCTTTGTATGTGTGCGGCTGGGCACACATGCGCCAATTGGCTTAGTAACTTGTTTTAACTTTGTTGCATTTCATTTCTGTAGTATCCGAAGAAAAAGCAGCGTGTACGCATAATCGAATACTGGATAGAGACCGCGCGGGAGTGTTTCAATATTGGCAACTTTAACAGTTTAATGGCGATTATAGCTGGCTTAAATCTAGCGCCCATTTCAAGGCTTAAGAAAACAGTAAGTATTGACAAATGGGCAGAGGGAAGAGAGGTGTAGCTATTGTGTAGACAGCGAAGTAAGAAAAACAAGAAATAGAAATTAAATAAAATCTTTATCTCTGTTTAAATAAAATTACTCAAATTACAATATTATGTTTTCATTCAATAAAATTTTTTTACTAAATATTTTTTATATTATATATTTTTTTACTAAATATTTTTTTATATTAAATATTTTTTTATAAATCATATTTTTTTATATTAAATATTTAATTTATTATTTAATCTTTTTTTATATTAAATATTTTTTTTTTTAATTTTTTTTTAAAATATTTTTTTATTAAATATTTTTTTTTATTAAATATTTTTGTTTTTATTGAAATAAAATTACTTTTGTTTTTTAGTGGTCGAAAGTGCAATCTGCAAAATTCTCTGTGCTGGAACATCAAATGGATCCTACATCGAATTTCAATAGCTATCGCTCAACACTTAAGGCAGCCATGTGGCGTTCGGAAGGCGCTACGGAGGAACGTGAACGCATAATCATTCCATTTTTTAGTTTATTCGTTAAGGATTTATACTTTTTGAACGAGGGCTGTTCCAATCGGTACGTATACTTAAAATCAACTCAAATTACAAATTTATATATTCATATTTACATCTTTGCTTGATTTGCAGTTTGCCAAACAATCATATCAATTTTGAAAAATGCTCACAACTCGCCAAACAGGTGATGGAGTTCAACGAATGGAAAAAGGTCACTTGCCCATTTGAGCAATTACCAAATGTGATTGCATATTTGCAGACCAGTAGTGTTTTAAATGAGAACACATTGTCGATGTCGTCATTCGAATGTGAACCACCCGAAAATACCGAGGAGAAGGGACGTTACAAAACGGTTAAAGCCGAAACCAAACAACAATTATTACATCAGCTGCAAGAGCAACAACATCAACACCAACCATAGTCGATTGCAACAGTGTTGCAACAAAAATGTATGTTCTTTTTAGAGTATGTGTATGTATGTACTAGTAGGGTTAATGCGGCGCAAACTAAATATTTGGCATTATTTGTCAAATACTTTGCATTAATAATGAAAAATATTGAAATGATTTTGTTTTTTAAATTCGCTGGAACTAAAGCACCTTAATATCAAAATGCAATTTTAAAAAATAACGGTTATTTGCGCTGCAAAATGTATAACCCGCATAGATTTATTTTTGTTTCTAGCAATTGTTGCAGAACGCTTGCCATTTTTTGATACCTACTTTGATATTTTCAAAACGTTTTTAAACATATACTAAGTCTAGTTACATTTATCTTTAGCCTGTAAGATGACAACAGCAACAACAACAACAACAACAAACAAACCACAAATTAATAGCATTATAGTAGGGTAATAAAAGGAACACAAAACAATTAAAATTTACTTGAGGACAATTTTGTGACTTTAAAAGTCTAAAATTCTATAGTGTACTACTTAAAAATATACATTGTCGCAGCATTATGTGGTTGCCAGTAAATTGTACTTAATGCATTTAGTAATTTATCGAATACATATAACAAAAACAAAACGTAAGCAAATCTCAAATAACGCTAAAAAAGCAGCAACAAAAAATATTACCAATTTCTTTAAGAAATTATTTGAGTTACTTTAATTTTTTTTTTATATACATAACTAATTATTATTATATTTATATTACTATTATTGTTTTTAGTTATTGTGACAACTTTTGTGTTTAACTTCAAAAGGATTTAATGTTCAACCCTGTGTGTGTTTTGTACTATGATATGTAGCTCTATTAATGTTTAAACAAATGAACAGAAAAACTCTTATGTAAGTTGTAATTGTACTATATACATACATACACACTTGCACATGCATTATTTGCTAAATATGTGCATGTAAAACTTATAATGCACCCGATATTTATGAGAACATTGCGTGTTTCTATTGCTAAGTTGACAGTATTGATATTTACAACTAAAATTTACTATTATATAGTTGAACATGATGAGGAGAGATCAAAAGAAATTTTGTAAACTAAAAGTAAACATGAATTATAACTAATTAGTTATCAATTGTGTTACACGAAAACAAATGCTCACTATAAAAGCAACAAAAATGCAGTATTTATGTTCATGAACATTTTCTTTATATACTCGTGAATAAAACAATTACAATTTACTACATTTACACAACACACACATTCGAAAAAAAAACAAAAAAAAAATAAATTAAAAAACTAAACCTTTGGAAACAGAAATGAGAAATAATATTGTGCGTGTAATTGACGAAATAGTGAGCAGAACACGAGAGAATGAATTGTGGTAGCTATTACGATGCTTTCCTTTATAAGATTATTAAACCTAAGCTAAAAACTTTTTAAACAACAAACCTACAAAAACAGTAAACAGAACAAATTTGTAACAAATTTCTCAAGCTGAAGCTGAAAACAACAAATAAATTCTACAAAAACAAAAAAAATCCGCTTTATTGTTTATTGAAATAGCTATTTTGCCACAGTTAAGAGAATGTGCGTATATTATGAGGATGCTAGGTGACTTCATTTGACACAATCGTATACTAAGAAGCTGCTAACTTCGGTTGTGTCGAAGCTATAATAACCATCACAAATACAAAAGATTACATAAAAGAACTTGATTATGCTCGTTAAAATTGTATGGCAGCTATATGCTATAGTGGTTCGATCTAAAAAACTCGTTCGGAGATTGTAACCTTGCCTTGAACAGTAATACATGTAAAATTTCATTAAAATATCTCATCAAATAAAAAAATATCCCCATGCAAGCACATGATACCGATTGCTCAGTTTGTATGCTAGCTATATGCTGTAGTGGTCCGATATTAGCGTTTCCGACAAATGAGCAGCTTCTTGGGAAGAAAAGGACGTGTGCAAAATTTCAGATCGATATCTAAAAAACTGAGGGCTAAGACTAGTTCGCGTATATACAGACAGACGGACATGGCTAAATCGAATCAGCTCGTCATGCTGATCATTTATATATAAATTTTAGAGGGTTTGCGATGTATCCGTATTGATGTTACTAACATCGGGACAAAGTGAAAATAACCTATTCTTGGTATGAAGAACAAATATTTGTGTTTTTAAGTTGGCAATGCCATATATGCTTTGGAAACTGCGTATAACTGTATGAAAATCTATTACAAACAAATTGTGTAAATATGCATGCGCAATAACAACACAATGCTAACAGGAAAAAGGCGAATGCATGCATAAAAGCAAAATACAAAGAAAATCCAATAAGAACGAGTGGGTTGCAAATCCGTTATGTTGCAATAAACTTGCGTGGAAATGAGACGACCGGTATGGCCGGATGCATTGTTTTTGTTGTACTCTAACAGTTTTTCAGTAGTGTTTTGACATTCTAGTAGGAAAATCGTCAAAAGCGAATCGCAACAATGGGGAAAACTGCCATTTGGCGGCTTTATACGCTAACGTCATTGCTGTGGCAAAAGCATTTCAGTTGTCATAAGAGTTTGAGACGTTGAGCCGAGTGGCTGGCTAGAGCGCGTTTTCGGCCACAATACCGATAAATAAAAAGCAACAAAGAGACAAATATAATTGGAGAAAAAATTCATTAGAAGTGTTTTTTTTTTAGTGAAGTGATTTTAAACAGAATTAGTAGGTAAACATTTTGTTAATAAAAAAAGTTACAACATATCCGGTAAAAAAAAAATGAACAACAGCACTGCGTGCTAAAAACAGTAAATTCGCGGTGAAAAAAGTGAGAGCGAAAGAAAGAAAACATTGATTTGTTACAAGTGACGCGACTTGTGCTCGAATTGTTCCATTTAATTACACGCGCAGCATTGCACTGCTCCAATTTCTGTGCATATTTTTGTGTGTCTCGCTGTAACGTCACCCACAGCCCAGTGACTCCCCTTTTCGGCAGTGAAAGTATTTCCGTGACTGCGACGTGTACGTACATATGTAGATGCGTCATTCTGTCAGCCTCATGCGATATTTGCGAATGTTCGTGCGCTTGAATGTAGGTAACCTGAACGTCTTTGCAGTTTCCTAATCGCTTTAGAGCACCGCCGAGGCGTAAAATCTTGCCGCAAGTGCAGCAGTTGCAGCAGTCACAGCGCTGTCGACTGTGGCGACAGCATTGTCTACATGGCTGCACTGTGCTGGCATGTGCAAGCTGAACTTTGATTTTTGTTAGTGGCGTTACTGCGGCGTCAACGCTTACGTGTCCTTGAATTGCACGACTGAGGCTGGTGATTTCTGTGGCATTGGTGATCCATTTCAGTCAACGCATGACAGGCTTTCTTCCGCCGGAAATGCGACTATCGAGCATTGATGTGCGTTTGTGTTAAAAACAATACTTTTGTGCTAAAGAACGGCAGTGCTGCCAACATACCATTATAAATTGCTGACTGAAGAGGTGCATTGTGACGGAACCTGTTGGCGCACAGACTGCTGCATAGAAAAACAAATATTTGGCACAAAAGTAAATAATAGAAAATAAAAAGCACAAAAGCTCAGGCAATTAAAAGCGACGAAAAATCGATTGTTCTCATTTGTTTGGTTTTAAGCAAATACTGTGAGCCAATGACTTATTAAGCGCTGTTGGCAGTTAGTGAATAGCGGTGCATATAGTTAGTTGAGACTTTGGCCGCTTTCAAAGTGTTAAAATAAATAAAAAATTTCAAAAATAATATACATTTGCTATGCATATAAAACAATAGAGTGCATTAAAAAAAAAAAAAAATACACACACACACAGACGCCAAAACTGTTAAAATTTTCTCCTCTCTCGTCTTACCGCACGCATGACTCATCCGCTATTTAACTGACCCCCTTTGGCTATTATTGTTGTTGGCATTACAACCAGCAAGAAAATCAACATATAAACACAGCGTGTCGTCGTGTTTGGAAAATGAAAAGTCACAACAAATATGCAAAATTACCCCAAGATTTAGATTTAAGTTTCCAAGAGCAATTGGATGTGGATGCAGGTGTTTCCGATGAATTTAATCTAGCTGCTGGCATTGGTTTGGCAGACGATACAGACGACGACGAGCACGTCCCAACAACAACAACAGCAACTGGTGACCTCAACGCAGTCAGCACATTGGAGGGTCACGCTTTCGACGACGAAGAGGACGAAATCGTAATAGCAACAGCTTTAAGCGGCGGTGGCGGTATTGGAACGCGTGCGAATGTTGTTGGCAGTGCTGCAGCCAGTGTACGTGTGAACACGTCAGCCAACAGTGGCGATAGTAGGAAAGTGCGTGCAGGCGGCGGTGTGGCTGTTGGTTTAGGCAGCGATAGTGTAATCGAGGTAAGTGGTAATTTTTCCATTTTTATCCAAGCACTTTTCAAATTAGTTAGTCGCGTTTTGGGCGCAATATCGTTATACAACTCAACTTAGTGTACAGTTTAGAATTTTGTAAATCCTAAACAGGGTATACTAAGTTTGTTACGATGTTTGTAATATAAAAAAAAAAAATGTATCAGCGTGATGAGCTGAATCGATTTAGCTAACTAATACCTCAATTTTTGAGATATCATCTGGAAATTTTGCATATCTGCTTTTCTCCACAAGAAGCTGCTCATTTTTCATAGCATATAGCTGCCATACAAACTGACCGATCAAAATCGTGTTCAAAATCCTTATATACCCTTCTCTTCTATAAGAAATGCAGCTGTGAAAGATATGATATGTAGCTACGCTGCAGTCGAAGTCAACTTTTTTTCTTGCTTTGTTTAAATTTATTCTATAGCCAACATTATATCATTATCATAAAGTATATGATGATGAACTCAAACAAAAACCAAGTAAGGAAGGCTAACGGGTATAACATTTTATACTCTTGCAACTTGCAAGCATCAAAGCAGGGAAAATAGCTTCAGATGTTAGGAAAACTTTATATTAGAAAATGTTGCGAAACAATTCAACATTCATTATTCGATGAAATCGTAGTTTAAATAAATTTTTACTCAAGTTACAGCTTGCACGAACGGGCGGACGGACAGACAGTCGGTCAGATTTCAACTCGTCTTTTCACTCTGCTCAATTTTATACACATAACCCTATATCTAACTCGTTTTGTTTTAGGTGATACCAACAACCGTTAGGTGAACAAAACTATTTTACTCTATAGCAACATGTTGCAAGAATATAATAAAACGAAATAACCCTAATATGCCATTAATATTTAAAAGCCAAAAAGTGTTCATTGACGTAGATTAATGGTGAGCCCTTCATTAATATGTCATTTGTCGGTGTCACCTTGTAAATATGTGTGTATTATATCTACCGAAAGTATGTAACAACAAAATCAATCGATTCGGTTAAATTTCGATTTATACGTATGCGTATGTGTACGTATGTAATTATATGCGTGCATAAATATAGTGGTGGGTTTAAATATTAATAGCGTAGCTGAGTGTAGTTCATTTACTTAACAAATTTAGGGTGAAAGCGCAGGTAAAATTTGTTAACTGTTAGTTACTTATTTTAATGCATTTTTAATCAACAAAATTCAAATGAAAAAGCAAGAGTTGGACACAGATATTTTATACAACATATGTACATGTATGCTATAAGTTTATAAATTAACTTAAGCACACTTATAGACCTTCGTATATAGTTTTCATTTTAATGTTAGTTGAACGTTTTGCAACATTTCACTCAATTTAAACCATTGCTTAGAAGCAGATTTATGCTTTCATAAGTTTTTGGAAACCCAATATATGAAAAAATACATACATATGCAGTCATCAGTAACACATAAGCTCAAATTTCAAGTTCTCATTTTGCGCTAACGGCATATACCCGTCATATACAGTATCGTGTGACAATGCATGCAGTTGGACTAACTTTTCTCGCTTGCATGTGTGTGGCTATGTGCTCTTAGGCATGTGAAAAGTGAAAACTTTTTGCATATCCTTTGCCAAGTTCATTCATGTGGTACTTTTTGTTCGAAAATTTTACCAAAATATTTTGCCAGAAATATTTACACATTTCCCGTCTCAAGCTTATCATTCGTAATTTTGTCTACTACTACAACCCGCGCCGACATTCTCTATTACAAACACTCTTTCACTCACTACGTAGTTTGTTTTCTTTTTCTCATCAAGAAATTCCATTGTTGGCAAAAATTCCACTTGAGTTGCATACATATTTCTGTGGTGGCAAAGAAGCTTCCGAGTAGTCTACATACACAGCTACCTGTGTATGTGTGTAGTGCTGCCAAATGGTTGGGTGTGAAACCGATGCTTTACAATCAAAAACCTTGAAAAGTTTTATGTCATTTTGTGTGTGTATGTGTGTGTAAAGTGGTAAATTATATTTGTATTAAAATAAGTGAATTTTCTTTTGAGTGTTGCTTGTAATGGTGGTAATCAGTATATTTGTGCATCAAAACTTTGCGACGCTGACTTCGTTCTTTGATCTGAAAAAGGATGTTTGCTTAAATAATACCAGCAAAGCAAGCTTTAGATAAAAAAACATGAATACTCAGCTAAAATTAACTAAAGATCGAACGGAAATCTAGACTTTATGCCGAAGTTTGTAGCACAAAGTTATTAGAAACTTTCAAGCTTTCTTTCAAATTTATCAGAAATCAGTTTACAGTCGCGTCTTATTCCTGCTCTGAAACGTGGTTTATAACATTATATTTTTTTAAAATCACTAAAAAAGTAAACTTGAAACTGAACTGTAAGTTGGCCTTACATATTTAAGAGGCACACCTAGAGTGAGCGCTTCAAAAAAGACGATTTTTGAGCTTTAAAGAAAAATTACTGTATCAATTGTTTTACAATTTTAAAAATATATATATTGGAACGTTCACTAAAAAATTTCGTTTGATAATAACAGCGGACCCTATTGAATTTGTTCGCAGCCAACTTTACACTTAACCGCTTTACCCGTTATATATTTGAACAGCTGATACAGTAAGGCTTGTATGCTGTTTAAGCAAGGCGAAGAAAATATGAGATGTACGAAGAAGATTTGTTGACCGAACGCCAATGCATAAATTGGTTTGCAAAATTTCGTTTCGGTAATTTCGATCTTGAAAATGCACCACGTCCTGGAAGGTCTCTTGCAGTCGAAGTGGATAAAATAGTCATTGGTCGATGCAAATCCTTGAATAACAACTCGAGAGATTGTTGTAAGATTAAATTTGTTTATCGCGACCGTTCACTCTAAACAATAAAAAATCGTTTTTAAATTGCATTAAAAACGAAATTACTTAGTGAGCGACCCAATATATATTTTAAGAATACACAGTAAATTTTTGGAAGAAAAAAATTAAAAATTTTCTAGCTACACGCGATCTTAGACGGCGCTTAAAAAATCTGCTGCACTGCTGTAGTAATTCACGCTTTCTCTTCGCATAAAAAAAATTCTCTCTGGAAGATAATGTTCGTACAAAGACCAATAGACGAAAAAAATCAAAAATTGACAAAATGGCGGTGTTGAATTTTACCTAAAATTTTGGTAATTTTAGCCTGATGGAGCTGATTGAACTAAGCGGCTTCACTTTAGTAGGTTGTAACAACAAAACTATTTGAGATATTGACTTATAACTTTAGTATTACAATTTTTTTTATATATTTTATTTTTATATATATTTTTAGACCTATAAAACCTATCGAAATATGAAAAAAAAACGATTATTAAATTTTACGATAACAGTGTCCCTTAAATTAAATTTCATAGTTTCTTGATCTTTAAATAGTGCAATTTTTTGAGAACGTGTAGAGCTTTTTGCGATTTTCCAAATTTTTAATTATATAATGTTATAGTAAAAAGTCTAACGGTGTAGCGTTGATATTTCGCTCTAATAATTCTCAACTGCTTTATGAATAAAATTAAAATGTTATGAAAATTTCCTTTCAACTTTTGATAGTGAATAAATTACTTTTCAATGCAAATAATATTTTTCAGCACTCGAATTTCGCAGAGAAACACATTTTTTAAACAATATTAAAATTTATACATAAATGAACTCACGCACATGACATATAGCCACGCATTTACGTAAGCCTGTCGTTTATTTATGTGCACAATTGCCTCAATTGCAAAACTGCAAAAATACCATATTTATTTATGACTTCTCCGAAATTAATTTCAACTCATTTGTTGACTTTCAAAACTAACTTTGAGCTGCTCCGCCACTCCGACGACTACGAGGAGATTGACAGAAGTGCATGGCATATCCGGACGTAATGACGCAGCCATTGGCAGCCATACTTTGTGCAACTTCCGCTGTGGTTTACTGCCATAAATCAAAAGCAGACAGGCATAATGCTGCAATGTCTACCAACACATATACATATATGTATCTATTTTTCAAAGCATGCACACACACACACACACACATACGCACAGACATGCTAATGCGCGCTTAAATTAGGCGGAAGCTGTTAAATGTAATCATTTAATTTTATGGTTTATTTAATTATGTTGGCGATGATGTGTGAAGCTTGGCGTCAGGCTTTGGCTGCCTCCTTCGGCGTGCAGTCCCTTCGTTTGGCTGTGTAAAATTAATGTGTGTTCGTATGTGTGTCAGCTTGTTTGTTTTTAATTCATATAAAAAGTTTGTTGAAAAGTAAACACACATACACACACACACACAGCTACACACGCTATAATTTGCTTATGTAATTGGCCGGGCACCAGCAGCATACCGCAAGCGTTGCGGCTAACAGGCGTTTATTCGAACTTGCCACATCAGCAACATTTTAATGCGCACGTGTGTGTGTTTGTGCAATTAGTCATGTGTTGAATTCTTTATGTGTGTTTACTGCTATTGTTGTGTTTTATTTTCATATTAATTTTTCTTGTTTCGAATTAATTATACGCATTCGTACTTAGCGCGTCCGCGTGTTGCGGTGAAAATCTGCAAATTCATATTTTATTATGCTGATTATGGTCGCCAAATGAATATAATATGTTGTTGGCATATGTTTGTATGTGTGCTGACTCGTCAAACTGTTGTGCTTTTTGCAACGCTTTGTTTTGTGGTTTTAACGCGCTTTTTATGTACTTTGCACAGTCTGGCAAGCATGTGTGTTCTTTTCATGCCTGTGTATGTAGCTGTTTGCAGAACAAAGTAAGCAGCATCAAATTTAAAGCTTTTAGCAAGAGCGGTTGGACTGTAAAACGTGATTTGAATGTTCAGGTTTTCGTAGCTGCGCACTTATTTAATAGTTTAGAGGCATCGTTATGCAGTTATAACAGTTTTTTTTTAACGAAACTATTGTCAAAAGAGAATCACATATTATTTGATCAAAGGAAATAATTTTCCATGCAAATAACTATCAATACTA